GGGCTACTTTTGGCTGCCTTCTATGGCTTTTGTGTTGCAGGAAAAAGGAAAATCACGATTCTCACGCTGCACGACCGCTGGCTGCTGGCAATTTGCACTTCCTAGCCAAATTGATGTTTAATAATTCAATTACAATTACATTGACAATAGATTGGGCAACAATCAGCGGGGCAGCCGGCCCCGAAGTCGCCAACTGACTCCATTTCCCACCTATTAAACACAATTCAAAGTAATTTGAAGCGGCAGTCGTCGGTTGTTGCTGTTGCTGTTGCAGTTCATGTTGATTTTCATTTGGCTTTTGCCGTAGCCGCAGCCAAAGCTATAGCCGTTGCTATTTTCGAGGCTGTTGGTTGCACCTACTACATCCAACACTTTGCGTCGATCCAGCATTGGACAAGCAGCGTTATTTGCGTTTGAGAGTCCAAGCTCTTAACTCTTAACTCTTAACTCAAGCTTCCGTGTTGAAAGTCAGGTAAAGCCAAATCGTTGCTCAATCGAGCATTGACCCCATCTGCCCAAAAAAAAAAAAAAAAAACCGCCAACACTGGGCGTTGCTATCGTTAACAAAAGATAACAATAATAACTCGTGTTCGGGGCGAGTTCAATTGTCTCGCTCCACTCACATTCACTTTTCCATCTGCGTGCAGTTTTCGCATAAAATTAATTATGCTCGACCAAACCACCGACAAACTGGGCAAATGACAAATCGTTTAAACATAAGCAAGATTAATTAGCAGCTGCTCGCCTGCCACCTGGATATCCATCAGCTTTTCAGTTTTTCCAGGCTCCCTCTGACTCATGCAAATCTTAGACTGGAAGTCAATAAACTTCTGGAGCAACTCCAACACATTCATTGAAAGTGCAGTTTCGATTACCTGTTGTGCTGGCTAAGCAATAAATATAATTTATTTTAAGCCGCACATTGGCAGCCAATCAAAATCTAAACGCCAATAAATGCCTGTGCATAAATGAAAAACCAAATTTAAAATATGAAGGGAGTAACATGGCTAAATAGAGTTATGCTGTGGAGTGAATAACCCGTGGAAAGTGGCTAAATAAGAGCAGTTCAGGACTCTCGAACAGCCAAACTATAACAATTGATAATCAAGATTTGAAAAATTTTATAGCTGATAATCAATAAGCAATTAAGTATATGAAAAATTGGAAGGGGAATCTACATTTGTGTAGTGCTGGCCTTTAAATACACTTAGATCCGTTTTCTCGTCTTCATGGTAATTTAAAAGTAGGCTTTTAAACAAGCTTTTACTTACTTTATCAAGGCAATAAAATAGTTGGATGTTTTCTTTAAAACTAAGCCCTTACCTTAAAAATAGCTTAATGTTTCACGCTGTAGAATTTTATTTAAAGATAGTTTTAGACTTGAAACCCGATTTTAATCTTTAAACAAATTTAAATAATTATTCAATGATTAGAATTAATAGGAATTGAAGATTAAATATAAATAGTTCCAGAACTCAATAAAAACCTAAAACTAAAGAAACTAAAACCGATACGAGATAAAGGAAATACAAAAAGATCTACATTTAAATATTTTGATAGTTTAAAATTAAAGAGTCCCGCAGAAAAAAAACTATTTTAAGGTGACAGATTCCCACCATATAATGATGTACAAGGTACACATGTCACAAACCGACCCTCTTTGCGGGTTAAAAGTGCCTAAAATATGGTTATTACAAGTCAAGTGCTCCCAAATGTATGAATCAATTTCAATTCAATTGCGAGTGCCACAAAAGTCGACACTGCAGTATCTGTGCGGCATGACAGAGCTATTATACCCCGAATCCAGGGGCTATCAGCTTTTGCGGGCTAACGAGACAATGTAACTATCGTCGTCCGTCCATGGCCGGTGAACCAAGTCGCTGTCGTTGTTTAGTGATTTTATGCCTGGCTTTTTATTTGGCTCCACAAGTTAACTACACTACATGTGCGCTGGCACGCTCACATGTTGCTGCACTTAATCATTGTTGTGGGTGGGTGGGTATGGGTATGGCTATGGTATATGTTTTCGCATGGGCCGCCGTTGGCCAACAGCAGCAGCCGTCGAGTGCCTCGATATCTGAATTGTGTGTTGTGTGCTGTGTGGTGTGTGCTGTGGTTTCTGGTGTGGTAGCTAGTGCTCCGCCAGAGTGTTTTATAGCAGCCCAAGTCGCCCAATTACGAAATCATATCTAAGGTCATATGTTTGGCTAATTTGTCGGAATGTGAGGAGCTAATGAATGCAGGGGGTGGAAGCCCATGAAGACCGCAGGCATTGTTCTAAATCCCCGCACCAGCATTAGCACCACCACCCGCTAATTAGCCCAATTAAAAGCCACTTAATTAGCCAAAACGATTACTTTCAAATTCGGCATCTGTGGGGCTGCTCTCGCGGAATTCTCGCATACCAGATGCAAACAGCCGGCTGACGACTTTTTGACGGCTACATGTGTTTACGTGATATACTAGAGTACGTTGACTGGCAGTGGCTGAGTTCTCTGGTCAAGATTGGCTGGCAGAGGCACAGATGGAGGGGAGAACCCAGCCAAACCAACCACTCGAACCACTGGACAAGACAGATGGATCTAATTTGTTTGGCAATGTATTGAAAGCCTTCTCTACAAGCGGTTTGTGTCTCATTTCCGTTTAAGTCATTTATGTAGGATGTTTTATAGGTTTTACATCCACTTGCAGGTAAATAACACGTTCTGTTCATACATGATAATTAATTCGTTGACTTTAACTTATGTGTTTGTAAATATTAAATAACAAGTTTACATAAGAAATAAACTAACAATATTAAACTAATAATTAAATTATTAAAACGGATATACTTAAATAACTATATTATGAAAAGTAAATATAGTCATTCAAAAACATTTAATATTCCTATTTAACTTTTTGATCAACATAACGCATTTCAAAGTTATTGTCAAGTCTAGACTTAATAATATACTTTTGTTTAAAACTTTTTATAAATAAATGATGAATGCTTAAAGTGGTTTAAACACATTGACAGATTTAAGCTTCAAATAAATGTCTCAAATTAAAAAAAAAGACTTTACAACCTTGTAATGAAACTGCAATGAATTAATGTTGTTTCCGCAGTTTAAAGTCAAAATTATTGTGGAGTAATCGTTGCAAATGAATTACAGACCCTCGGTAGCTTAGTCCCCAGATCAGATCATTAGTCCCTGCTCCAGTGAGTCGAAATGACAGACACTCTTGTATTCTGTCAGTATTTCCCTTAACGATCACATGTTCGCCGCTCTTGAGAACTCTGTTGCCTGAAACTAAAACTGAGTTCGATTCCTGCGCCACTGTTGCACTCTCTTGGACGTAGATTTGGATGTGGCAATAGCGTCGCAGTCTCTGCCTGGCCAACAACAACAGCAACAACTTGGGGCATAACAACAACAGCAAACACGAATTAATTAAAACTATTTTTTCACAAGTCGCATTGGCTGCTTGTTGGCAACTTTGCGACCGCCTTGTTTGCATATTTTGTGATTATTTTGTAGCATATTTTGGCTAATAGCAATTAGCGTTATTGTTGCAGCTTGGACCCACAGGGTTCGCTAGTGAACCCTCGCAGAAATCAGGCAGCCAAGGCGCGGCCCATTAAGCAATTAATGAGGCCCGAAACATTGGCAACATTTGCATTAGCAGGTTGCAAATGGTATATGGGTGCAATCGATGGGGAAAATCGATCGAGAAAAAAAAACCCGTTCTATTAAGTCAAGTCTGCCCTATGATTTAAGTCAGTCTGCCGGCCAAGTGACGGCCTTAACTAAGACGTTCGACACACAGATCCAAAGACTGCTGGACTGCCAGTCAGCCAGACAATTTGCACAGCATGTGGCCCCCATTCCCACCCACCTCCGACTCCGACTCCGAATCCATTTGCATCCCAGGCGATCGAGGAGATTGGGGTCAGCGGAAAAATAATCGCAGCCGTGATTGCTATTTAACAAATTTATCACACTTCGGTGCAGTTGTGGCGGCTCAACGTGATGTGCATTCAATAAACTAAGTAAACCGAATAAAGCGCACATTTTCCCTTGGCTGCTTGGCTTTGTGCGGCTTTCAAAATGTTTCAAGCAAAGCAGAAAAAAGAAACAAAATCACATAAAAGGAACCCACTTAAATTTACTGTGCCTTGGGAGACACAAATCAGCTGCAAACTTCCTGAAGCCATACTGTAATTAAGATTTTATTTTTCTAAAGCACTTGCAATCAAAAATCAACTGCCACATACTGGGTTGTTAAATGAACAATTAAATTTAAATAGCTCACACTTTTTATACCGTTTCCATGTCCGATTAAAATTTGGGGAACGTAAATCAGGCTAATATTTAAATACTTCGCAAAAAGGATCAGTAGTATAAATTATTTAAAAACAGTAAGAAACAAAACTAAATAACAACTTTCTAAAAAATATATAAACTAAATGGCTTTCAGCTGTTTCCCCAAAAACTATTATCTTTTAACCAAAGCAATTATTTGGTTAAATGTCCAACAGTTAGAGAGCAATTGTCTGGATGAATGTGCCACCAGACAAATCCCTTATTAACAACGAAATAAATTTGGGCCATATTTGTCATAAATTCGTCTTGGCTTATTGCACCAGTTGACTTGGCAAATTGCTTAGGTCTTTTGGCCATCGACCAGAACCGAATTGGAATCGGTGGCGAACTGGAAGCTTTCTGAGCTTCTGGCCAGGCTTTCTGGCTCGTGCTCAAGGCGACTGCACTTGACCGGACCGAAAGCGAGCCATGTGGCATTCTGCGTTGTCTTGCGTTCGGTATTTAATTGTCGGCTTATGGCATTGGCACACATTTCCACGGCTTAATTGCTTGGGCCAGCGTGTAACCAGTGCAATTGGCCCGTGCATGCCTTCGGTCATACTCGTATGTTAGCAATCCGCTCGTAATACCAAAATACCCATATACCCATATACCCAAATACCACTAACCATGTGCATTGTCCACTTCCACTTGCAGTTAGTCACCATCGCCGCTCTCTGCCTCTTCGTGGCCTTCGCCGCGGGTCAGCAATACTTTCTGGGACAGTTCCCCAGCCGGGCCCGCTTCGGATTCGATCCCGTGGCTCTGGCGGGACCCTCATCCGCCACACAGGTCAGGGATCCTCGACAGAACAGAGGTGAGTATGAGGATGATGTGTGCTCAATTTGGGCAGATGTTTTAGAATTAAGAAAAAAAAAGTAATTTAACCTGATTTGTTTGTAATAAGAATTCAAACGATCTTTCTATCAAGATTTTGCTCTTTAAATAATTGTATTTTTGTATTGTATTTTTGTTGAAATATTTTTATTTTATTTTCAGTTCTAGAAAATATATCACTATTTCTACATTTCCACACTTTTGACCCGATTTTCTTGCAGGACCCGTGGTGTTCCCCCCATCCCCGCCAGATGCAGTGGACGAGTCCAGCGGCGTGGTCGTAGGCGCTTCTGGATACGGTTTTGTGCCGCCTCAGCAAAGTAATGCGAACCTCTTTAAACGCACTGTTTGAAAGAGAAATATTGATTTGAGCTCCTTCATCTCACTTACTTACACACACACACACACACAAACACACCCACACACTCCTAGAAGAGAAAAGCTTTATTAGTGCAATATGTAGCCGTGTTTTTGTTATTTCTTTGTTATTGTTAAATAGTTGCCCATTAATTAGCAATCCACACAAATGTCTTATTCGCAGGAAAACTCTCTGGTTAAAGTAAAAAATCTTCCCCACACCGAATACCAAATCTTCCCCACACCACACCACACCACACCGACTACCAGAAATTAACCCAAAGCACACAGTCACTTTGCACACCAGCACCAGCACCGGAAACGGAAATGCGTCCCTCTTAGCTAATTACAGCCGCCAACAAAAACACCCACTAACTCGGCACCTCTTCCCCCTTCCCACTCCCCCTTCCCCTTAAAATAAATTTAACATTACTTAGTTTAATTAGCTTGAAATCCCAATGTTAATTTCCACCTTATTGTTTCGCTTTGTATTTTTATTTCTCTTATGATTTTTGCTTTCTTATAATTTATGTTTCAAATTGGAATTGTATTATGATTTTATCTTATTTTATTTGTAACCAGAAGCTAAATTTAAATTATGAATAAACCGAAAAATATTATTAAACAAAACCAAAAAAAAAACACCACCGCATTTCGATTTTTGCTATTTTCGTTTGTAAATGCACCATTTGACTTGTATTTATGTTTATGTTTATATTTTATATATGGATAAGCACTCGAGTGGCTGATCAGTGATCACCATGTTGGCAATTATTTTAAGCGCACATAATACTAGCGCCTAATTAACAGCTCCGATCCGGCTTTGAAGTGCGGCGGCATCGCGATTCGATGGCGGGAAATAGAGACTGGGACGCAGACTTCGACGCCGACGAAGACGAAGACGGAACCGGGGAAACCATCGACTGTGACTGCTTTCAACTCGACCAGGGCATGCTCTCCCCTCCAGTGCAGCTTCACACTTGGCGGAACAGGCTGCAGACGAGCACATGTACTCCGGGTGGCAGACTTGTGGTCATTTGGGGAGCCTGAAAAAACTAGCGTATACAAATGGGCACACAAGCCAGTTAAGGTGTTTTGTCCCTTGGTTATCTAGGTGTAATCTCTCTGAAGAGACAAACAGAGTCTACAGGGACAATGGTTTAAAAGTTTACCTTATACTTTAGAAATATTCTGAAGTTATACGTTTTGAAAACGTCATGGTCTTTAAAAACACTACAACCGATTTAAAAACCAACATAAAACTTTAAGACTTTGGAAACGAACAGGAAAGTTAATTTCGCGCTAACTATTCCCTGTTGTACAAAACTTAAATACAATTTTATTAGGTAGCTTGAGACTTTAAAATTAATAAACAAAAGACTTAAACAACGAACTTGGGCAGTTTTTCCAGTTTTCTAACAATTTAGAGTAAAAGTTCATAATTATCTTAGTATTTATTGACGAGCATTTTTTTTATTTATTTTATGCATTCTGTTCTTCAAAATTTTGAAAAAGGGGAGAAAAGAAAAGAGAATGTATGAATTTTCTTGTAAATGGTTAAAAAAAAGTCGGTAATTTTGTTAATTGTTTAAGAATGCATTCCAACACATTCTTAACATCTGACTTAAGCTAGGATAGAAAACCAACTTGGGTTTTGATCTGGAAATCAGACTTATCTAAAACAAAGTAATGTTTGCTTTAAGTGAACCTAAAGATCAGCCGAATAGGTATACCCTCAGGGGGCAGAGAATATAAACAGATTCCTTAACGATCCGAGCAGAAGCAGGTGCTGGAGCCACAATTGCTGCTCGCGATTCGCGACTCCAAGCCAGACCGCAAATGGTCCCGTGCCGGATTCAAAGTGGAGTAGGAGCGGAATCTGGTCTGGCGAGGAATGGCGCATTGGAATGGGGGGACGGAGCAGACGGTGACCAGACGGAGTCAATGATATGCGCGACTAATGCGACTTTGCTGGCTTTGCTTTTGCCGCATGCAAAATATGTTGGCAGTTAATTTTTTTTTTTCGCTTTTTGCGAGCGCAGTGTGTTTTGTTTTTGCATATCGATTTTGAGCATGCAGAAATGGAGCAACTTTTTCTCCGATGCCGATGCAGACTCCAACTCCGATTCCGACTCCGAACTCATTGTACAAATGAATGGAGAGACATTTCACAATGGAGTGGAACAAAAAGCGTAAAAAGCGATCGAAGCAGCGACGCTAAGTTGAGATAATTTTTACAATTTGACAATTTATGCACGATTATTGAAAGGCCTGAGAGTCGACAAGGACCGGCCATTGTGTAATTAACTTTGCATGCCAAAAGTTCTCTCTCCCCCAGGCCGCAAAGCCATAAAGCCATAAAACCAAATGGTTACGCAGTGGGACTCGGCTTCCTGATGAGGACTGCCTGCGGCTAGGAGCCCACTGGCCCCAGGCCATGGCAATGTGTAATGGTTATGGCAGCGCCGATCTATAACTGAAGCCGCAGCGTAACAATTGCCCAAGACTGGCGTAGATTAATGGCAGCTTTTCCGCCCCATTTTTCCTCCCCCTGATTTAGGTCCAAGCATGAATTCGAGCGGCGATTGGCTTGCGCGTTGGGCAATCCCCAGCCACAGCCACCCACCACAATTACACACAGAGAAGTTGTTTTAAACAAATGCTTCCTCGAATTTTGGTTCTTTAAAAAGCTTTAGTTTTATTAAGTTTTTTAAATATATTAAGAAATGACGACTTTGTGTTGAAATGGTCAAACAAAAGACTAAAAAACAAACTTGACAGCTTCATGAACTTTTCTAACAAGTGAAGTTGTATAAGCAGTTTTTATTGTTTAATGTGAATTTGACCAAATCGAACTGTTTTTCTTACATATACAAGCCTATGGTAAATCACTGATTGATTAACAATATATACATTTTAATAAGTCAAGCAAAAAACGGGGGTATAAACTCTTTTCCGTAACATAACATATCATACTATTATTTAAATAGGAAATTTCATACTTAGCTTAAGAGTGTTTGATTACCGAAAGTTAGTAATTAGCCTAAAAATGTTTTTGTTAAGCAGGATATCGTCAAATGTATTTGGGCGTGCATTTTTCCAGTGTACATACCAATTGGCAGGGGTACCCGAAGTGGTCAAATGTGACCGACATTCTAATCAAAGTAGCTGGGCGTTGTCAGACGGACGGACGACTCGGTGGACAATCAAAGGCGATCGGCCAATGACTGTGACGTCGACTCCGTGATTGCCGGGGCGATTGTGATTGACGACGGAGTGAGCTTTGAGCCCGGCGCAACCTTCGAGCCGTGTCATTGGGTGACGCCCACGCTTGGAATTCACCACTTGGCACTCGCAGCAACCACAATTAATACCCCCTCCAAGTGCACTTGCCCAACATCCACAAATTCAATATTAATCAAGCCGCGTCGAGTGAGAAACCCAATTAAAATGCTTTTGTTTGTTCGAACAGCAGCGGCAGCTGTGGCGGCAGTGGCGGCGGCTACGGGGGATCCCACCACGTTCTTTAGCACCACATTCCAGACCCCCGACACCGCCTATGCGACATACAACTTCTTCGGAAGTCCGTACACCACACGGTTTAGATACTTCTGAGCCGGACGGATCCTGCTGTGGCCAAAGTCGAACCCCGAGTCATGTTGAGTGGTCAGTGGCGGAGGCACTGATTGCTGCCGGAGCACTAGGAGCAAGAGCTGGAGACTAGAAACAATTTTCTTGTAAATAAATGTGTTAACTCTTATTAACAAATAAATAGGAAGAGCGTTTTGAACTTAAACAAGGATCTGAATTGAACTAAAACTCAAGTCGTCAGATAAGGCTTAGCTCAATTTCTTGTTTATATCAAGTAATTCATTCCACATGAAAAGTTTTGTACAATAAAGCTAACCTGGATCTCTAACTATGAATTGGAATTATGTGGCTATGAAATATATTAATGTTTGAGGGTAAGTTTACTCGAACGTTTAAGTTATTTTTATTCTAGTTAGTTTTAACAAGTTTGTTGAATTTTTCGTATGTTTTTCGAAGTACTTAAAAAGCCTGCGAAAAATAACAAAAATTTGAATATAAATTATAATTTAGATAATTAACACAAACTATAAAAGCTAACTCTGCTTAAATTATGGAAACCAAAAGCCTAGTAAAGTATCACAGGGTTATTCAGAAATCAGACAAATTGAATTTATAATTTTAAAACAATAATAAAATAATTACTCGAATAATATTAGCCATCCAGTTATATCATTACTAAGTTATGATTGAAACTAACAAGACATCAACTGACGTCCGAGTTTTTTTTGGAGCACGAATTGGAATTGAAAACAAAAGACTTGGGAAACGAACTTGAGAGCGTGCAGCGCGCAGATCATTTGCATTGCGGCGACCTAATTGCAACATCCCTCCAGTTTAAGACTTCAGCTGGGAAATTGGCAGCCAATCGGCAATTGGCGATAAGGATTGTTAAGGTGAGTATTGGCAAGAGAAGCAGGGCATTTGGAGCACGCACGTCTGGGGCATCGTCAGTGGCTCTGGAATGTGGCGAATATGGCCATTGCGGGAAATCTGTGCAACATGACATGACAGCAGCGCCACAATTGCATGTTGCTGCTGCTGTTGCTTAGCTGTTGCTATTGCCATTGTATGCTAAACTACGTATACGCCCGGGCGGCCGGGGCAAAAGACAAAAGCTGAAGCCAAAGTCAAACCGGGCGGTGTTAATTTCCAGTGACACTGGCGATGTTGCGACCACCACAACAAGAGTGTCCGCCACAGCCGCTGCCGCCTGTTATATTTATTTATTTATTTGTATTTCTGCGACTGTCAAAAGGCAAAAGCCGAGCTCTACACCGCACAAGAAAAAGTCAACAATTCTCGCTCGGTTTCACAACAATGGGCAACGGATCATTAGCAATGGCATGATTCACAGCCGCAGTTAAAAACCAAATGTGCCTGTGGAGCTGCGGAAAAACGCCGACTTTGTCATAATTTTATTTTTATTTGAAGTGCGGCACAGGAACAGCGCCAGGGCGGCCGTGTTGATAACCTTGTTGACCACAAGAATTTCCAGCGAAACGACAGTTTGCCCAACTGCACAGGAAAAAAAGAAACAGCTCCATATGTACCTGTATTTGTTTTCAGTACTGTACATTAAATATCACATCAATCATGTCAACTTTTCTCACAGTTCTCTAACCTATTTCCATCTTTCAAATTTTTAAATAATTTGATTGACAGTTATTTTTACCAGTTCAACCAGAAGTGCCACTGGCTTTTCTTTGTTCTCAATAATCGAAAATGTAAAATTATCAAATCATATCCACTTTTCTTGTGCCACTGGCTTTTCTTTGTTCTCAATAATCGAAAATGTAAAATTATCAAATCATATCCACTTTTCTTGTTGTGTGTAAGTAAATTTTATGCCCCGACACCGCGGGCTATAAATGAAAATGAAACCAACGAAACTGCGAAAACGTGTGTATATGACTGAGTGTGACAAATAAACAATCATGCAAGGCGGAGACATTACCTGAGGGTCCCAGGCACCAGTTACCAGTCTTTCAATCACTCCCGGTTCCCGCCCGTTCTTTGATCTAATTTCAAAGAGTCGCCTAGCCAGTTCCGTGCAAAAATCACGTAGCCCAAATGCTGCCAACAACTGACCTTCAGGTGATTTGCGAATAATGGTTTTTAGTTCAATTCCGTCTTGCAATTAGCAAATTCTATAAAGACGCCAATGGCCGACCAAGCAGTGGCAGTAATTAACATAATTCCAAATTTACTATCACTTTTAATTGCTCTGTATTTGAGACTGTTGGCCTTTCCAAACCCACCAGCGATGAGCGGAGCCCGCAAGCTGTTATTTGTCACATATTCCAAGGCACTGGCAGTCACAGTTGTGTTTATAGTTAGTATAATAGGTTTTCAGGCGGACTTTATGTTCTTAGAGTCACAGCTTTAACCGTGACATGGTTTTAATAATTGGCAATACCAAAATAATAATATTAATACCAGATCGGGAAATTAACAAGGCTCCGATTGCAAGCTATTAACTTAACCAATGCAAAAATTAAAACGTAAAATTTAGAAAAGTGGTAGTGTATTTAGTGAAGTTTTAATCTTAAGAAATAAATGCATTTTATTTAACTTTGGCTAAGATTGTAAAACTTGTCTCTAATTATAATTCTATCTTTACCGAAAAAGTAATTTTATTCAATTTTGTCGAAAAATGAGCTGCTCAGACCAACTAAAAGCCTATTTAAAACGAGTTAACTTCTAAAAGATTAATGACAATTTAATAACTTGTTGAAACTATTTGTAACTGTTAGTAAAAGAGTTTAAACGAATTTGAATTCTCGCGGTACTCCGCACCGTGTGACCATTAAACACTTATGTCTAAATACCCTTACCCAATCAGCAATAAAAAAGTGAGAATTGACCCATTTACGCTGCTCGGTCACACTGGTTGCCATACACTGCGAATATTCTAGATTTGAAGCGAATTTTCTATACATTAAGCGAGACCAAAACAAAGTTATAATGGAACAATGCTACAACAGAGGCTGTGGCCAAACCTTCGATCCGGCGACCAACAATGATGGTAAGCGATGGTTATATCGAAGCACATGTGTGTTATTAAAGTAACCTCCCAAATCCCGGCCAGAATCTTGTCGACACCATCCGGGTGATCCGTTCTTCCACGACGCCTACAAAGGTTGGTCCTGCTGCAACAAGAAGTCGGTGGACTTCACAGAGTTCCTCAACATCAAGGGCTGCACGCTGTCCAAGCACTCCAATGTCAAGCCGCCGGAGCCGGAGAAGCCGGTTAAGAATGAATCGGACAAGGACGAGGTCATCGAGGTGCGAGCCCCCATCAAGGAAGCATTGCCCCGACCGCCCATAGCATCCCCGCTTACCGTCCTAGAGCCAACGGTGGCTCCCGCCTTGAAAGAGATTGTTTTTTCGGGCAAAACTCCGGTGGCAGAAAACTCCAGCAACACCATCGATGTGGGCACCAGTTGCAAAAACAACGGATGCTCCTACTCCTTTGCGGGCACCAGCAGCGACTACGGCGAGTGCACCTACCATCCGGGTGTGCCCATCTTTCACGAGGGCCTCAAGTTCTGGTCGTGCTGCCAGAAACGGACCTCGGATTTTGCCCAGTTCATGGCGCAGAAGGGCTGCGCCTATGGGCAGCACAAGTGGGTGAAGGAGGTGGGTCCGAGGAAGATTAGAGCTCTTGGTAGAAACCCAACTAAGCTTTTGAACTACCATTCCAGAACGATGACAAAAAGGTAGTGCACTGCCGCTACGATTGGCACCAGACTGCCACCAATGTGGTTGTGGCCATCTATGCCAAAAAATATGATTACAGCCAGAGTCTGGTCGAGCTTAATCCCATCAGGTTGCATGTCAATCTGGTTTTTCCCGAGCAGGACAACGCCCGGTTTGACCTTGACTTGGAACTGCGTGGAGTAAGTCCTGACTTAAGCGTTTTTCCAAAATAAAACCTCATAATCTGGTCTCCCTTGCAGATTGTCAATGTAAGCAAGGCAACCGCACAAATGTACGGCACAAAAGTGGAGATTACGCTGCCCAAACTGGAACCTGGCTCTTGGTCTAACCTGAATTTCCCCAATAAGAAGCTGCCTGTGGCCAAGAAGACCCACGAGGAGGAGAAGCCAAAGCAGGATGAGAGCGACGATGAGTTCTTCGACCTGGACGACATCAAGACAGTGACCAGCTACGGCCTTAACATCTCGGATTTGAGCTTGCAAAACCAAAACAACCTAGATTAATAAAGAGTTGGCATTTAATGTTATTTACAATACACAAATATGCCTTGGAGAAGCGTTTACTTTACTCTAGAACCGGTGTAATTTAATCATCGTCGTCCTCGGCTCCGGGCACCCAATCCTCGTCATCATCATCATCCAAATCCAGTTCGCCCAGGTCCTGGAACAGGGCCTCATCGATTTTGACGTTCTCAATGTTCTCACCCGCCTCCAAGAGGAATTTGATGTCGGAATCGTTGAGCGTGTTGTCGCACATGAAGAGTTCGCGGCCGGTCTGCTTCTTGGACACATTGTTCTTCTCCCGCTTGGCCGCAATACCGGTGGTCTCCTCGAAGTCGAGTTTCCAAGTGAGGAAGGACTCCACCGTCACCCGGGTGCCCTCGAACTTCTTGCGCTCCTCCTCCTCCACTTCCCGCAGCTTTTGCTCACGGAGCTCGTCCTGGTGGAACTTGTGCTCGTCCCACCGCTCGTTCAGCCACTCCTGGGCACTGCTCACCAGCGAGAATATCATCTCCATGCCCAGGTTCTCCTCGATTGTCTTTTGCAGGTGTTCCAACAGGAGCTTTTCGAAGCCGTCCTCAAAGTTCTCCGGCTCATCGATTTCCACCACGGGCGCACCATCTGGATAAGTGGCTGTGTATGTGAAGACGAGTTTGCAGGAAAGCCCGTTCTCGGGCTCATCCGCATTGTAATCCTCTGTAGCAATGGGAATTTGGAATTTGTGGTGTGGCTCCGTGGCGAGAACTGGGAAAGGGTTTTTAGGAGCTTGGATTCAAAGGAAAGGCCTTGGTACTCACTCTCCATTTCGCCACAGTATATGGAATCCAGCGCCTCGACCTCATTGGTCTGATCTTCCCTATAGTTTCGGCTCATTGTTGTGTGCTAGTTTAACAAATTTAACAATAAATAAGAGCAAGCAAATCGACGCCGCTTTGAGGTTACTTGCTGCCTGATGATTAATGCACGATCAGACTGCTTGATCAAATCAAAAATAAAGATTATCAAATGTCAGAGTAAAATAAAATAAAACGGAAATCTGCGATAAAATAAAGTCTGAATTGAAATAAAAAAAAATAATACCTTGTTAATTTATAAAAAAGCATCATACCTCATCATGCAGATTGAACGTGCCCAAGAAAGATTATGACTCGCAAGAGTTGCCACTCTGCATTTACCAAGGTTGCCACATCAGTCAGTTATTACATTAAAACTCGATTTGTTTATTTAAAAAAACAGTTAACAGTTCTAAAATTTAGTTTTTGTATTTAATAAAGAAAACTTTGAACTTAAATTTAAACTATAAATTGCCATTCGAAATCCTGCTTAAAATAAGGATCACCTTTTATTCATAAACTCCAATAAATTAGTTGATACTGATGCTTTGTCGGCCTGCAACCTATTCGTGTTAATGCCTTATTTAATTTAATTTACCGATCCGGAGCCTCCAATCTGGAAAAGAAGAAACAAAATGAAGACAATTTTTTAGTGTTTTAAAAAATAGTCATACTTGTGTACTGTAATGTGGTCGCTGGCTTCGACCGCAGTGTCCTGTGGCGTAAGGAAACAATACTGGCGCGACATCCACTCCAAGCCTTCACCAATAAGGATTTCCGTAATAAACTTACGGTTTACTTCGTCCTGAAAACAGTACAATTTTTAGGATATTACAAAAACATGAACATTGAAACACTTACTGTAAATACGTCATATTCGTCTAGAAAATAGAAGGGGTGGTCTGAAGTGCTCCAAAGCCCTTTCAGCAAGGAAACTGTGGTAAACGATCGCTCGCCGCCTGACAAGCTCCTGGTGTTAGAAGTTTCGTTTCCGCTGGGTGGGAATACATTGATCTTCCACGTTTTCTCCTTGTCACTGGTCTCAAAACTAACTTTAAATTGCCGCATGGCTAGGGCTTGCTGTAAGTAATCAAAAATAAGTTCTTTTTAATGAATTTAAAATGTTTAAAGAACTTAAAATATACCTCAAACTGAAACTGAACCATGGTAAAATAGTGATGGCGTGATCTCTGGAACAATTGTGCCCGCTGATGATAAGCCATGCGAAGCTTATTGATCACGGAAACGACCACGGCCAAGTGCCTGGCCTGAAGGTCCAGTTCGTCTCGCAGGGTAATCAGCCCTCGCTCCACTTCTTCGGGATTGTAGTTCAGCTGCTCCACCTGTTTGATCTTTGATTTGTAGCGACTAATTGATTCGCGTATTTTCTCCTCCGATTGCGTCGTGGCTATAAACTCTCCCAATTTCTCAGCCTCGACGCGAGCCTTTTCCAAATCATTTAGCACAGTCTCCTTCTCGCCAATCATTTTCCGTTCGAGCTGCAACGTTTTCTGAAAATTTCGAGTATTTTCCTCGTAGTGAAGGTCTAGGCTACGAATTTTGGACTCCACTTCGCGAGCTTCCGTGTCCAGTGTGGAAAGCTTTTCATTGATCCCCTCGAGAGCTTTACTTTCATCGGCAGCGATTGCCTCGAATTGCTCCTTTTGTTCTTGGATTTCAAGAAGTTTTTGCTGCAGCATTTGGCGTTCTTCCTTGCATTTCTCAATTTTCTCACCGCTGTCAGCTAAATGTGATTTCTAAAATTAACATAATTTAATACTATAGGACTTTGGCTTTATCAGGACATGGACTTACCAGACGATGATATTCCGGAAGCTCCTGGTAATCGAAGTTTTGCAACTCCATTATCTGCTGCATGGCCCGCTGATTCTTTGATTGATTCTGGCCAATCATGGAACTCTTCTTTGTACTCTCAAGTTGGGTGCTCTCCAGAGTCTTTCTATGCTGCATATAGTCAATTTCCAGAGATGCCTCTTTTTCCTGAAGTTCACTTTGCTCCATTTGAAGCTGCCGAATGCGATCATCGACGTTTATGTGTATATACCGCGCGGGATTTATTCTAGTGGAATAGACGGCATAGTTGGGCGTCGGAATGTACTCCAGTCCCAGATTTGGAACCAGCACTTTCGTCAGATGGGGCGGCACATTCTCAAGGTCGGATGTGAGAAATTCGGCAATCTCTTTGGACTCGGTCACCAGGACCGTCTCAATGCGCAGCATATCAATGAGGTAGTTCATTACCACAGGATCGTCACAGCTGAATGGATATTAAATAATTGATTAATAAAACACAAACAAAATAACTAAAAAATTATTAAATGCACATACTGGATTTCATCGATGAGCACTGTGGTATTCGGCGTGGTGGGACGCACCTTGTTCCTGGATACGTCATAAACACGATCCGTAAACGGACTGGTGATAATGGTGGGAATGTTTCCACCCTGAAACTTATTCTGTAGCAAATCCCGTAGCGATTTGCGCTCATTGTCGGAGCTAACGATGTAGGATCGCAGGCAGGACATGAGCTGGTTTTCAACCAGATCCCGGTACTTCGGATTGGGTGCACTGATGTACTGGCCCAAGGGTCCTCGGGGCATCCTATGCATATTGGAGCCGGCATACTGGGTGCGCAAAGTCTGAACGACCTTTATCGCCTGCTCGCCATAAACAGACAGTTTGTTGGACTTATTCCGGGACAGTGCCTCGATTTCCCAATTTATACTCTCTGTAAGAAGTAGAAATGTAACAAAAGAACTTAGGCAGATGGTAGTTTACCTACGTTTTGATTTGTGCAACTTAATTCTTTCATTTTTAATGGCCTCCACCCTTTCCTGAACCGACGTAATCTCTCTCTTTATCTGCTGCTGCTCTTCTCGTAATCGGACAATGATCTCCTCACTGTTAGCAACCTGCTGCCTTAGCGCTTCAATCTTGTTGGCATGCTCCTCCCGCTGCTCCTTCACCCGGTTAAAGTCGGCATGGTAGTTTCCAATGAGCTTCTCACATTCATCGTAAGCGTGTTGATCCTCCCGCATGCGTCGTTCGGTGTTTACGATCTGGGCTTTTATAGAACTGGTCTTTAAGAGCAGATCCTGCACCGCCCGTTTGGCTGTTCTTAGCTTTTCATCCTGGATCTTGTAGGTCGCTAAAATTTGATTTTTAGTCGCCTCAAATTCCCTGAAGATTAACAAGAACGGGAAGCAAATGTATAAAGTCACAAATTCAATGGTATTTAGTTACATACTTTAGCTGTTGGGTCATTGTGGCCTGTGTACTCTCTTTTTTGGAAGTGGTGTGCTCCAGCTTGGCCTTCTTATTTTCAATAAGTTTAATTGAATGCTCCAGATTGTTGAGCTCTTCCTGATAACGCGTCACAGCCATCCAGGCTAACTTGACCCTGCACTGCTCCAGTTTTTCCTTATTAAGTGCAGACGGCTTTAATAAATTCAATAATAGAATGTTAAAGTTGCATTTTATACCTTGACTACTTCCTTATTTTTAAGGATGGACAGCTTTTCCTCTTCAGCCTCAACTTGCTTGGCCACCGCATCTCTTTTCTGTTGAATTTGGAAAGTCACAAATTAGAGACGGGATATATAACAACATAAAGCTCCTTCAACCTTTTCTAGTTGATCCAGGTTTTGTGTGAAATGGCGCCTCTGAGCATGACATTCGGTGAGACTGCTAGTGCACACGTCCAGTTGAGTTGCCTTCATCAGCAGCCTGTAATTCGAAGATGGCTCCAATCTGTAAACATAAAACTTGCTTAGGTTGCATTTCTTACTGGCTGCTGTGGATCTTATTACTCTTTTAGAAACTCCCGAGCCGCCTCCTGATTCAGCACAAAAATGGGATTCTCCACATTAATGCCGAAGCAGAGCAGCATGCGGCGAATTTCTGCCACTTTCTTGGAAACGCTTCTGCCGCGAGCATCTTGGAGGTCGTAGGTCGAGGAAGAGTGGCGTATTTGGCGCACCACCGTGAGGTGGGGTCCAAAGATGTCCGCCTTAAACGGTCGCAATCCCGCATTTGACAGTGTGATGGCAATGGTGGCACTGGCCTCGCCGTTTTTAATTAGTTCTGTAATATGTAGGTGTGTGATAATTGGATGTTAGACATGGCTTTTTATGAGAACATACTCTGTATACTGCTGGCTCTGTTGGTGGCTCTGGCACTGCTGGTCAGGCCCAAAGCCAATGCGGTGATTACGGCGCTCTTTCCACTGCCATTGTTGCCCACCAGGAAGTTGATATTGGGGCCAAACTCCATGAAGAGATTCGAGTGGCACATGAAGTTGGTGAGGCGCATGGAAATCACTTTGCCACAGCGATCAAAGGCGGTTGGAATGGACAGCTCAGTCTAGAAAAGGGTTCGATAAGTAAAGGATGGATCGGATCTCAGCAATACCCACCGATAAAGTAAAATTGCACGCACGCCGTGATTTGTTTGGACCTGTTTGGCGCGTTCTAGAGCTTGGTGACCTTGTCGCCTGCGAAGTAGACGCTTCCTCGAAACTCTCCTCCTCCTCCCTTTCCTCTTCGAGATATTCAACATTTTCCATCTCCACATCTGCCTCGGATTCGATTTGGGGTAACCGCTTGCTCCTCTTACGGCTGGGGGCAGCTGTGGAGCTATCGCTATCCGAGTCAGGCGCATTTCTCCGACGAACCGCGCCATTGTGACTCCGCTCCATTTGGTTTGTTTCTCTGCGGGTAAAAAGCGCGGGCCGATTTGAAAGTAAGCAATACGGTATTAACCAACTGAAGACTTACTTGGCTTACTCCTATTAATTAGCTTAAATTAATAAAGACGTTGCGGTCCATTCAATTCAGATGCAGAACAATCCAAAGCGCAGTTTCCTAAACAATTTAGAGATATTTCGCCACAAAAATCAGCTTGTTCGATTAGCAGTGTGGCCAGATGATGTAAGCATTGAAATGCTTAAAAAAAACACAGAATAAGCAGGTACAGTAGATATTCGTTTGCAGCTATTAGTAAAATAATAACCTTTGTGGATATTTTGTTGAAATATGTTAAACAATAATTTGACTTTAATTGTGTACATTTTTTTGCCTGCACCTTAAAACAAAACCAAATTGGTTTTAAAAACCATAATTTAAAATATAATGTTTTAATAAGCTTAATTATTTATAAAATAACATACATACATACATACATATAATGCGACTTTTTACAAATTGTTTTTAGCACGTTTTCTTTGGTATGTGTTAGTTCCGCTTAACTGATACCTACTATTATTTATTTATGGGATTTTAACTGCGTCTTTGCTTGCAGCAACGTTAACAACAAAGAAAAAAAAAACTGCGTCTTTTAAATTATTACACCTAATACCATGTCAGGCTCTGATGAAGATTGGTTCGACCAGGATGAGGAGGAACTGGTGCAGAGCTTGGAGAAAAAGGTGAAGTCCCAGGAGCGAGAGAATGCTGAGGAACACATAGAATGCCGCGCACCCGAGGGCAAGTTGGCCTCCAGTCTACAACAACAATTGTCCTATCAAGTTTTCTGATTACAGTGGGGGACTACATGAAACAACTGAACTTGGAGGCGGGTTCTGCAAATGCCGGAAAGGATGGAAAATCCTCCGGGCGGTTCTCCTTGACCGAACTAACAAAGGCTCTGAAAATGCCGCCCGTGGACATGTTCCTTTATTTCCTGTCCGAGGAACGAGATCTGTTCGTCAACCAACTGGGGGCTAATGACAGTGTGAAGCGAGTCAGTCTGTTCGTGGAGGTCCTGAAGTCGCTGTGTCAACTCGAATTGGGCGGATTCGATGAGGAGTTTCTGTCCGCCTTTAGCCGGGAATCTGTGCTGCTGGACAAGATCCGGAATCTTCTGATGGCCAAGGCCTCTGCCGGTAAATGTGATGCCGATTCGGCTTTAATATTGAGCCACATAAAGTGGCTGCTTCTACGAGCCCATAAGTTTGGAGTTCTTGGGCAGCAGGGCTACAAATTGGTGGAACTGTACAAAAAGTTGGCACATTCCATTAAATCCGACTTGGCTGAAGGTCTGGAAGCATTTACGGGCAAACATTCGCATAATGTAAAGGGACAAATCTACCCGACGTTGGACAAATTTCTGGGGAAAGAAGAGGCTCAAGAACCAACAGCACAAGAACCTCCTCTGAGCGATAAAGTTGTACAATATATAAACCGTCAGCGGCATTTACTCAGCGAGGATTTTTCTGCCCCATTAATCGAGTTTGTGCAGCAGCTGCGTGCTGGCAAAGACCTCCAGGAGCTGGAGCAGCAGCACCTGCTGTGGTCCAGTGCATATCTGACATTAAATCCCCAGTTTGCCGAGGCCCAGCGTCATAGCCTGGTTTTTCTCAAAGTGAAATCCAACGAAGGTTCCAAGAAGGACAATAAGAATAGTCTGGACAACATTAAATCAGGAGCATTGCTTTGTTTCACAACAAGCCTAGTATTTGATGATCTCATTCTGGCTTCCGTTGGCTACACAGAGCTAGAAAAACTAAAAGAGGGATGTGTGAGTAATATTGTATATTTACTGATAATAAGGTATTTGTCTAATTTATCGCCTTTATCAAAAGCTAAGTGTGCAGATTGTCAAGCAGTTTAACATTGGCAACATCTACGATCGACCACTGTTTGTGTTCCAGACGCCCGTGTTTTTCGAACCCTATCTAAGGGTTCACAATTACCTGAGCACCTGCAGCACGGAGCAGTTTCCCATGCGTCGCTATCTTGTAGATGGAGAGGTAAGAACACCTCAACAAAATAATATTAACTAGGCTTAATACTTCAACGATTACTTAGTTTGATATACGACCGCCAGCGTACATTAAGCCAGGAGTTAAGCTAAGCCTTAATGGCAAACCCTTTACGCTGGACAAACCGCCAGAAAATCTGCCTTTCAATGAGAGCCAGAGGACAGCCTTCAAGGAAACCCTAAGCAGGGAGTTCAGCATCATCCAGGGTCCTCCAGGCACGGGCAAAACGCACCTCTCTGTCGAGTTGGTGAACAGTTTGATACAGAACGCCAAAGTTTTGGGCACGGGACCCATCATTGTGCTGACCTATACCAACGACTCGCTGGACAAGTTCCTGGTAAAGGTGTCGCAATACACCAAGGAAATACTTCGTTTTGGCAGTCAGACGCGAGATCCGCAAATAGCCAAGTTTAATGCGCGCACCATGATCAATCCGGATCTGGTACCGCCTCGCTTGAAGCGAGTTTGGTGGCTGGTGAACTGCGAATACAAGGAGAAGTTCCAGTACCTGCAAGGCTTGTACTCCAACTTCGATGGCAGCGAGGATAGCTACCAGAAGACTTTGTTGGCTCAAAAGCAGCTGCATCAGGTGGCCGAGCGCATCGACACACTGCGCATGGTCTTCCAGTTCTTTCTGGCAAGGGACAAGGATCTGCTGGCCATGACCACCACGTGTGCTGCTCGCTTAAACTTCCTCTTCCGGCTGCTGCAATCCAAGTGCGTGGTCTTTGAGGAGGCGGCCGAAATTCAGGAGGCCCACATCCTGGCCTGTCTTACGCCGCACACGGAGCACGTAATCCTCGTCGGCGATCACAAGCAACTGCAACCCTTCACCGGCAGTAGTCAGGTGCCACAAATCTCCCTCTTCGAACGCCTCATCGTGGCGGGCATGCCGTTCTCTCTGCTCAATCTGCAGTACCGTATGCGTCCGTGCATTTCGGAGCTCCTTGTACCCAGCATTTATGACGAACTGCTCTGTTCGGAGTCAGTAAAAGAGTACGAAGACATCCGGCTCATGGAAAAGAACTTGTTCTTTGTGCAGCACAACCAAACGGAGCAACGCTCCTCGGACATGTCTTTCGAGAATCCCTACGAAGCTGGCGTACTGGCAAAATTCGTTGACTTCCTTATCAAGAGGGCCAAATATCAGCATAGTGATATTGTGATACTTTCGCCTTACAACGCGCAAATTGAGTGCATTAAGAAATCGGTATGTGTTTATTTCTTAACAAACATTATCGTATCACATAATATCGTCTTTCCCTACAGCTTGATCGCAAATATCGTTCAAGTGTCCAGGTGGCCAGTGTAGATAGTTTCCAGGGCTTGGAGGCCAACATAGTGCTTCTCTCGCTGGTGCGCAGCAATCCGTCCGGCCAAATTGGCTTTCTGCGACTTCCGAACCGCGTGTGTGTTGCTCTTTCTCGGGCACGCTGGGCACTTTATATCATCGGTAATCTGGAAATGTTGCAGCAGTCCTGTCCAAAGCTTTGGAGCCCCATTGCCAAGCGTTTGGGGGAGAATGATTCCGTTGGAGAGGCTTTCCCGACAACATTTAATCTCTGTTAAATAAATAAATAAAATGTGTATATACGTTTGATTCTCTCTTGACTTTATTTGTATTGATGAGGGGTTTCGGTGAACAAAGATCGCCTGCCGATGGTGTGTGCGCCTCGTTTATGCCATCAGCTTACATAATGATCTTAAACCACCACACTGAATGGAGTTTACAATGAGGGCCGGACATGGAATTGTGTGTGCTGAAACGTTTCCATGTCGGATGGTTTTTGGGCCATTCGATACTTATAAATATTTCTTTACCGACATTTATTTTGTATTTTTTGCTGCACGCCAGTATGTACACATAGTTTGTATTTATATAAGATCTCTTTAAGTCTAAATATGCACAGTAGGGTGGGTATATTTATTTATCTTACTATAGAATCAGAGAGACGGAAAGCAATGCATTGAGTTTCGCAGTCCTTGCGGATCCTTAGAAGCTCCTGCATTCCGCAAGAATAAGTTATCTTTCTTATAAACCTCAGTGCATGACATTCCGCCCCTAAGAGTGTTGAGTTGATTTCTGAACATCCTCATAAATGGACCTACCCCAATGCACTCAAAAATAAGAGTTAATGGATCCATATTCTTTCTAATGTTATACATTACATGAATCCGCGCCGCATTAACAACTAGTTTAAGGATCTATTTTACTTTGCACATCCGGAGAGTTTCCGGCAAAATGTACGTGGCCAAAGAGTATCTGTACACATATGTTGTAGTTTCCTTTGACAGGAGCAAAAAAAAAAACATTTTAGAAACGGATTCATCAGAGGAATTTTGCATTTTTTCGTTTTAATTTTTACACGGATGTTATTTAACTTTTTACTTAATGCATAGTTGGTTTCGGGTACTTTTTACGAACTGCTGCTAATAATTGTCTTCAACGAAATTGGCTTATATTTACTTTCTGCTACGCGAGTGTGAGGTGAGGGTGTTTCAAGAACTCAACAGTTGCATATTGTAATATAATGGATTTATTCGATGGTGAGAAATCGTGAAGTTGATAAAATCAAAACGAAAAGCGCGGAAGAGGAGTGCAGCAAGTAATTTATATTCCTTCCTATTACGATTACGATCTTATTTAATGGGTTGCTTCGGTGAGCGCACTTTGCGATCCAGCCCACAAAGCGGCGAGACCTCCACAACGTCGTCAGCTTATAACTTAGGGTTCTTGGGGTTGGGTTTCGGGTTGGGTTGGGTTGGGTTGAGTTGGTGCAAGAGCTGAGAGGGACCGGGGCTAGAAATCAAAACTAAAACCGAATCTTGGTGCGAGTAGATCGCCACGTCAGTTGGGAGCGGGATGCGGTGGAGCGGAGGCCTGCTTGTCCGCTGGCAGCGGGGGATTGACTGCTTTTCTGGTCGCTCCTCCAAGGGCTGCCGTCAGTCGATGGCATCCGCTATTGCTGCAGCTTCGTCCCCTGTAGCCGCCGGGAATCATGAGTGCGCCGCCGCCGCCTCCGCCTCCACTTGCACCTACTCCGCCACCGGCACCGGCGTTCCCGCTCCCGCTTGCAGTCCCACTCCCGCTTCCTCCCCCGCTGGCAGCCGGCGTGCGCGTGGCCGCCGGCGCCGTCGTCGTCGTCATCAGGGTGGTGTTGGTGGTGGTGCTGTTGCTGGTGGTGGGTCTGCCGCGTCGATTCTATTGCTACCGGCGATTGATCAGCCCGTTGGGGGGCGCCTGTTGGCTGGCCGTGTGCATCAGCTCCAGCTCCACGAGCAGCGGGAAGTGATCGGAGGGTATGTGCGGATGGGGGCAGCCCACCACCTTGTTCTCGCGCAGCCAGTCGTTGGAGACGGGTCCCAGCAGGCCCAGCGGCACCATGCCCGTCTTCGTGTAGAAGATGTAATCGATGATGCCCTTGAAGTCGAACGTGTAGTTGGTGTGCGGCATGATGTCCTCACTGTAGGCGGAGGCCAGCTTGAACGAGTGCGTAAACTCGTTGGTGTCGTTCGAGAGCAGCCGCTGCAGGCAGGACTTGTAGCCCATGTCCTTGAAGTCCAGATGGTCCATGTTGACGCGCCCCTTGCCCAGGAACTCCACCACGCCCGAGTCGGGCAGCGAGTTGAAGTCGCCGCACAGCAGCAGCTGGACGGCATTCGAGTCGTTCTTGTGGCCCGGCCGGAAACTGTGGCTCGCCTCGTCGATGATCGTCTTCAGCTCATTGCTCAGCATCATCGTCTGGATGAGCTTGACGTCGCAGAACTCCGGGTCCCAGTGGATGTGCGCCGTGCAGACGAGCAGCGGCTGCGAGATCTGCGTCACCTCGGACATCGGCTCCCAGGCGTTCTCCTTCACCTTGAGCAGGGCGGCCAGGCCGATGTTGTCCTTGGGCATCACGCGGTTCAGCATGTTGTCGGAGCCCTCGGCATTGGCCATTGCCAGCTGGTTGAACTCGATCAGGGACTCCTTGATCAGCGTGAACCTGTGGCAGACGTAGTGCTATCTGTTGGTATCTCATCAAACTGCTTTTGTACTCATTTGTACTCACTTGGACGCCCTGAAGAATATCGCACAGCCATCGACATACTTCCGCTCCAGCTCGGACATGGTCTTGGCTCGCGACTTGGGCGAAAAGATGCCCTCGTAGCCGTCGTTCTTGAGCTCTGGCAGGAAGAAGTGGTAGAACTGTTCCGTCTCGATCTCCTGCAAACTGATGATATCCGCTGCATAATGCCGGATCTCGTCGATTATCGACTTTTTCCGGTACTCCCAGCAGAGAGCCCACGACGGACAGTATCCGTACATTTGCCTTGTCGCGTACTTATCGCAGAGCACGTTGTAGCACATAACCGTAAAAATGCCTGGAAATTGGTAAAATGAATGTTTAATATTATTTATCAAACGCCAGCATTTTTGAAAATTTAATGAAAAATATAGGTAACTATTAAAAGTATCTACAGTAATCTAAAGAAACTTCAATTTATTACATAGATATTTAAGCGAAATATGATCGAGAAATAGTAAGCCAAGTAAACTGTAGATCATTATTAAAAGTAGTACGATCCAATTAAAAGGAAAACTATCTTTTAGGTACATAATTTAGCTTAACAACTTGTCGATGGAGTTGAAACAAAAGCGGCTTGTTTTGCTATCTAGGGCAACTGCAAATAGCTTGGTAATAGAAAATTCTTGTTGGCCAACTAACAACTATTAAGCTTTAATTACAACTTACAGGCTGGTCGCGTTTTGTTGGGCTTGGCCAGTGGCAGCCAGGGCCTCTGGGGCGGTGGATTGACGGTAACTGCAAAGAAAAAGACACACGGATGTTCGGTTAGTTGGGCGAGTGAAAATGCCGAGATGCAAGAAATTATGAAATTAACACCCGCACATAAAGACCCCGGCACACGAGCACTCCGTATCTGCGCTACCCCACTGACACACTGCTGCGGTTCCGTCCACGTTCTCCCATAACCACTTTTCCTCCAGCTCCCCTCTGCCCTCCGGGTGCAGAGATTGCAAGCGGTGAAAGTGACATGCACAAGCAATCAAATTGCTTCCGCCTTTGGGTTGCCCCACCGCAAATGCGGCACCACTAGCTTCAGTCAAGTCAGGTGGTGCTTCGGTTTTTGCATACTCCACTGAATAGCAGTGCAGTGATGGGTACCCATTAGGTACATAAGCAGCTACTTATTTATAGGACTTTGCCTTTTGCACTCTTTACCTATACTAGGTATTTTGAAAATAATGCACTCTATTATGTTTATATTTTATTTTTTGATAAAAATATCAAAGGCATTTTTGTCACCTTTTCTAGGTATAAAGGTATGCTATAAAACCTTTTACCGTTTCTATGTGTTTAAAGGCTTGTACCCTTATTAAAATAAAAACTAAATTATTTACAGAATTGTTTTAAGTAAAATGAGTACTAAAATAACTGAATATCGTTTGTTATATTATCTTTGAATATGTTCTTTTACCCAACCATCACTGATGCTGCGAGAACCACTTACTGCGTGATGAGGGAGAACTGGGCGACAGCGTGCTGGTACATGGGTTTCTCCAACTAACGGGAGTGGGGGGTGGTGGTGGTGGGGCAAAGGCGACCTGTGGCATCTGATGCGGCTGGGCGTAAAACGTGCGAAATGGCTGCAGGTTATGGTGCTGGCGGTGCGGGTGGAAAATCTTGCAAGCCACACCCGCACCGCGGTTTCTCGAATTGGTAGCCGTGACTGAGCCGCTGCTTACGACATCGTATCGCATCGATGGTAGCCACGGCCTGGAATCGAACTTGGCACCACTCTGCGGCGATTCTACGGCAATTGGATTGTGGAACCTAATCGCTCCGCTGGCTAGCGGTTCGTTCGCTCTTCGCTCTCGCTCTCACAACGAAGCGGTAGCGATGCTTTTGGCGATTTGTTTTGCTTTGTTTCACAGACTTGTTGATTGTTTTTGCATTTCTTTTTCCCTCCGGTAATTTTGTGCAAACGGCGACGTCGACTAAAAACTTTCACTTTTTAATAAATTTGGTGATTTTTTTTTTATAATTTTGTTGCTGTCTGCCCCTTGTTTTGTTTTCGGTTGTGCTTCTCTTCTTTTTTTTGTATTTTTGCTGACAGCCTTTAATGACTACATTAACACAGCTTTGATTGCATTTTAATTGTACAATTCGTTTTTAGGACCCAGCACTCTCGTTGCTCTTTAATTATGCAAATGGTTATTTAATTGAAACGGCGCCACAAAAATTACAGAAGACGCAAATGAGTCACCGAAACGAGAAAGGGATAAAAAAAAGCAACGTAACGTGTGTGAATGATCGTTGTGTTTGAAGCGTAAGTACTAACTAAAATAGTTGAATTACAAAATGCCAAACCAAAGACTTCGACAGCAAACTCAATGCCAACTGTTGTGAGCAAACAACACCCTCAAGTGGGGTTCCTCATCGCCATCGTCATCATCATCCTCACAGTGGGCCCAAGGTGTTCGGTTGGGGGGCTAGAGTTACGAAACTTTTACCCACCGCGTATACCCCCACGCACCCACTCCAAACTCCCATCCGCTGAGTGGGACGCATGGTAAATAATTTCACCAAATTTGTGAGTGATTACCCCATGGACAGGTGTAACAAAAGACACATTCATCGGAAACACTTTGGAAAACAAAGCGATCAACGAAATTTTAAAAACAAATTTGTTCAGTCAGCGAAGCGTGCCATATTTTTTTAGGGGGCACTGGTGGAAGATGGATTGGAGTTCGTACATTTTGCGGGGGCTCGTAGAAGTGTAAGTGGAAAGTTGAAATATGTAGTCTACATTTTAATACATTTAATGTAAATAAAAAATACTATTGGCACAGATATTTGATTTCCATCAGCTTTATGCTATTCTAATCATTTGACTAAACAAGTGAAAAACGTTTATTGGCCTTTTTTATTTATATTAAGATGTTATATTCTTTAGAAAATATTGCTTTCGTTGGTTACACAATTTTTAAGTAATACAAATTTCAATCCACTTATCTTAAAGAGCATCTTTGCCTAGTAGCTAAAAACTTTGTAAGAGAATTCTCATTAGCAAAATAAAAGTGAAAACGAAACAGGTTTTTATTCTTGAATGGTAATTGGAAGATGTTTGTTTGGTGTCCCACTTTTTTTATGTTCTGAGGTGGTATTTCTGCTGTCAATAGTTGTTTAACTTTGTAAATTACAAATAAATACAAAGGCCTTGAAAAACTATTCTTTCCAGGAGTTTTTACGGAGAACATCACCATCGAGTTTGAAATTTGTACTTATTTAAGTTAAAGAGAATTAATCGCTTATGTTATTCGATTATAATTCTTATATCAAAATCCTTTCTATAATTTCCTAAGCTAGATCAGTCATAAATTTTCACCGTCACAAAATCAAGATTATTTATTGCTTAATGGATGCATATCAATTATGTTTACTCTCTCTTGACACGGTAAACTCAAAGTTGGCATTCGATGGTTCAATATTCTCCTCGCAGCCTGATGTCACGCCATGTCGTGTCGGCCTATATATATGTATATATAGTAACATATAGCCTCCCCATAGCTCCTCTCACCTCCACCCACTGCCTTTCCCATGGTTTTTTTAGCGTCCCTCCTCGGGCGCCACTAGAAAGCCCTTTCTATCCAAAAGATTTCATGGTCGCTGCTTGCTGCATTTGAAAACAAAAAGAAAACAAATAAAATACAATAGCGAACACCAAAAAAAAGCAACTCTCAGAGGCAAAGACAACAAACAAAAGTTCGAAAGGCAAAAACCCAAGTGAGCGTATCGAAAAAGAAAGTGAAATTCAAATTGAAATTTGGTGCGATTAAAAACGCCAAGAGGCCAATGCAGAGCCTGTTTGGTGTGAGTGTGTGTTGGCCAACAATTTCGTATGCACAACACGTTGCTAGATGGAGGTGGTTTTCGAGGGTAAAGCGGAGTAGAGGCCTGCTTCGAATAGAAAACAAAAGTCAACTCGCCACTTGCCACACTTCTCCGAGCACTGCAATTAGATAACTTGTTTCATTTGCACCAGTTTTTCCTCGCTCGATGCGATCGCAGCAGCAATTGACTGCCAATGTTCAATGGCGTTCAGCAATCGCAAGTTGCAGGTTGCAGGTTGCCAGTTGCTAGTTGCCAGTTGCTAGTTGCCAGTTTCTGACTGGTACTGGTTGTCAGTCCACTTCAGTTGCCGTCGATGCGATGCTTCCACTTAAGACAATCTGGCATTAAAATCATAATAATGAAACACAATTTAAGGTGCACTTCAGGCGCTCCATACACAGAGTGCATTCGAAAACACAGATGCGGCCAAAATAATAGCGCCGAAAAGTGTAATCTGACGAAAATGGCAGTAAGTCAAATGCAATGAGTTATCGGCGACTTTGGCTGATTGTGGCATTTGTGAGGGAAAATCCCTTTGAATCGCTATTCTTTTGGCCACAACTGTGCGTCTCCTTGCTAATGTGCGTGTGGGAAACCAGTTGGACAGCATTTGCCGCTGCATTTCTTGCCGGGTTTCACAGATTGCGACTGATCGTGAGCGCCATATTCAAAAGACTCCAATTGTGCTGCGTCACATGGAAAATCAATTGAAAATGTGCGCGCACAGTGATTATGCACAGGCGAGCGGATGGCGAGTGGCAACAGCCGATGCAGAGGTAGCTCTGCTCCATCGGCGGAGCACCTCATCACCATTCCCACCAGCAGCAGCACCATCGGCAACTCCATCAGCAGTTGGAGTCACAGACTGGCGTGGGCTTTCTTTCCATCGAGCAACAAGGCACACAATGAAAAAACTTTAACAGTTATCAAATTTTCTATTTCAATTCTTAAAACAAACCAAATTGTTAGTTGAGTTTTTTATTCAAAGGACTATTGAAATTTGTATTTACTTTGCTTTTAATTTGCATGATTTTTTTGATTTTTTTAATTTTTTTGGCAAGACTCATTTTACTTTCGATCTCAGCTTTAAGGTTACAATTATTAATTGAACCTCATTTGTGTTTCTTTACTTACATAACAATATTAGGGATAGTCCTGAAACGAACGCCCTTCTTTGTATTGACAAACCAGACTAATCATAAATCGTAATTATTTGGAGTTTCTACTTACTTAAATAATTGTATGAAGTTATTTGGAGCGCATTTTCATACTTTGAATTTGTATAAGGAATGATTTAATAAAAAAAAAAAATTTTTATACATTAAATCTCTGTTAAATGGTTAGGCAGTAGGGGAAATCCCCAGAAAGTAGTTACAATTTGGAAGTCAGGATAAAGAAAAACTTCACTTTCGCTGTGATAAAATATCAATTTTTCCAAGTGCAGGCAGGCAGTGGCAGCATCTTCGTAGGAGGCAGGGGCTGGCTCACGCGATCGGCCAACAATGCCGCACGCTGCTTGGTTACGTTTATTTTTCTTTCGCTGATCCACTTTTAAATCTTTGCGCGCACTCGCAGTCGCAGTCGGGTACTTTCTCTCTCCCGCAGTTGGAAAGCGGCGACGAGACAACTGCCTACTGCCTACTGCCTTCTGCCTGTAGTCTGCTGACATTGACACAGCCTGTAATGGGCCATCCAATCCAGCCAACCAGCCTTAGCCATACAAATATACAAAAGCCCTGCTCAAAGCTCAAAAAAAACTAAAAATAAATTGTGTGTTGCTAGCTGTAAAATCTAATTTATAGAATTAAATTTATAGCTCCAATATGATTTTATGTTGAAAAACCCTAAAAATAAATTAAAACTACTCATTGTCCACTCATCGTGTATCCATATACTCATTACAAATGATATACAATATATAAGTTCCTTTTTTTATTAGATATAATATAAATCTACACTACAATCACTTGGTGAAATAAAATTTATTTTTACGCAAATGGGCAAAGTAATAAATACCGAGCTGTGCCTGCAAAGCTGCTTTGAATAGCTGTACAAGCCCAAAACATTTTCTCGTAAATTTCGCTTTTATCAAATCGACCATTTTTGGTAACAGCTGCCATATTTTTTTTTAAAAGGCAAAATCACTATGATAAAATTTCACCATTCAAAGAACTAATAAATTTACCCCTTTCAAACGTTTTCCTTAAAGACAAATGTATACTAGGTCAGACCAGTCTAGTTAAACTAATAAATTGGAAAAGTAAGTTTCTTTAAGTGACATGAAGTGCTAAAATTCGTGAGGGGTTTCATTAAGAATGACTTCTTAAATACGGTAAATGACTATAGAGAAATCGCAGTAAACAAAGCATGGTTTTTGCTGGCCCGCATTGACAGGTCTTAAGCAGGAAATACTTGATTTTTTTCCCCAGTGCAGTTCGAGCCCATTCCCTGGCCATAAAACTTTCTAACCATTTGCACTTCCTTTTACGCAACAACAACCTTGATAAGCCCAAAAACTCAGACCGAGAAATGAAACAACCGGCAAGAAAATGAAACGAAAACGAAACGAAAACAGGCTGTAAGCTCACTTCCGCATTTAAAACAATATAATAAAGGCGAGACGACCAGACGAAAACATTTCCGATTTCTGTTGCATATTTATAAGAAATATGGGCCAATTATGCGAATTACTCCACAAAAACAAAAAAAAAAAAAAAAACCGATTTAAAAAACAACGAATCAGCCCAACAACAAGCAATGAAAATAAAAACCAGAAAGGCTTTGCCATGACAAAGCACAAAATAATATAAAAAACAACCGAAAAAAATTAACATTTCGTAACCGAAATAACAGTTAACATTCACAAAGGCGGACAAAGAGGCGGAGGGACGGGGTTTGGCACCGGCCCAAATCATCAGCTGCTTTGTTATTGCCCTCGCCACACTATTATAATTTTTGGCACTAATATCATCATCGCCAAGCGGCTGCTTCTTCACTCCCAATTGCAGTTATAAATACCGGTTTCGCTATATAAATAAACCATTTCAGTTGTGTGGGGCGGTTTTGTCATACTTAACGATACTTAAATGGAGCGAAAGTCGGGGTATATTGGCCAAAAAGGTTAACAATATTTAGATCACCAGGAAATGGTAAAAATAGAAATAATATTTGGAATACTATCATTGTAAGGAGTTAGATTATTAAAAAGTGTTAGGTGTATTTCTAAACAACCAAAAAAAAATTAAATTTTTGATTTTGCACATTTTTATAAAACAATTTCTCAATGGTTTACTAATATTAATTTTATTTAATAATAAATAAAATTAATATTAACATTGGTTTCTGTTTCCAAAACGTTTAAAGGGTAGCCAATAAGTCGAGGACCTTTCTTATATTTTCGCTCCACTTCCTCTTCCCACATAACAATTCGGCATGCTCCACTAAATCGGCAAACGCGTTGTGGGAATCGATGACTCTGCGATGCGTTTAAAATGCATTACAAAGCACAAAGTTGTCATAAAAATTAAATTAAATAAAAGCCGAAAACAAGAAAACGTGTAATAAAGCGACGAGAGGAGAAAAGATCAACTGACTTAAGCCAATTAAACGATTAGGTAACAGTTACAACAATAATGGCAGACACAGCAGCAGCATCGTATGCAGCACACACAAAAACGTCGTCATCGGGCAGAAAAGCAGCAGTAACAATAAAGCTCAGACGAGTCGAGTTATAAACCTACATAGAGCGGCAAAAATTTGTACGACCAACGGTGGGCCACTGCGAGTGGCAAACGGAAAAAAGCCAGAAACAGAAAAAATTAATTCATGTTGTGCCCATTTCGTGAGCGGGCACAAAAAAGATGAAGAATAAGTTACAACAAGAAGTTAAGTTAAAATACGGCTTTAAAGACCGAAGATCGTAATTCCCTTAAGAAACCCTATCTGTTATCAGAATTTGACTGACCTCTACAAAGTGTTTTATATTGATAGCAACAAAGGTATTTACCAGATAAAATGTAATAAAATAAGTAGAACAAAAGTGGAACTTGCCACCAAAATGGAAACCTTATGGACTAAACCGATAAACAACTAATAACAATCTCGGTAAAAATAGCAAAGGCAATAATTGTTATGGTTCCGAATACTCTAAGCCATTACAAACAATATATATATACTTTTATAGGGTATACAAGGTTTCAAATGCGGCAGCAGTAAATGAAGCACAAGCCGCTCACAAATGGCAGAAAGAGTTAAAAGTTAACACTGGCCCTTTGGCTGCCCTCCGTCCACTTGATTTATGGGCTTTGAGCCTCGGTGGTGCAGTGCATCTTCTTTCTTTCCGCTGAAGTTTGCGTCACAGGCGACATTAGAGCCCATCCCCCGGGAAATGATTTCGTCATTTGAAGCTGCAGCTACGAATTGTGAGATCTTGGGTATATGTGTATATAACATAGTAGGAAGTTTAAATGCCTGGCATAATGACAATGAGATGGATGAGTGGTCAGATGCCAACCGCTTACTCTTTGTTCTAATGACCATCTTTTGCTTCTGGGCTTACAATCTTTGGTTGTGACCTAATCAAGCATGATAATCTTCTATAGAAATCTGAAAAAAGCAACCCAAATAACTTGTGTTAGGTAATATTGACACACTTTCAGTTCTGCAACTCTGCAACTTTCTTACGCTCTTTATTGAGCTTAGCAAGTTTTTCTGTACCTAAAACGTTAAATAAGTAAGTTATTGTATTGCTATTGGTAAGACAATTGTGATGTTAGAACAATCGCTATGGACCGATTCATTGTCTTAGATCCATTTCTAATAGTGGATAACCTTACCAAAGTTTGTAATTAAATTGTCAAGTTTTTGACATTAATTGTGCATGTCAATTGGTATTTTAGTAGATATTCCCATGCTAACACACCTAATAATATATGTATTAATTAAGGGTCCCCACAGTTCGACCGAAAACGGAAAGGGGAACATGACTTTTAATGAGCTCTTCTGTACCTGGTATCTTCACAGACAATCTAATTTACACATTGCTCAACATGAATACAAATTTTACACCACCAAATTATTCCAAAAGTGGAGCCCTTCATCTTTCTTCGAGTGGAGTGGCTCATGAATGGTGCGGTATAGTTTGGCTAATGTGCCAGACAAGTAGCAACCAGCAGTTGTCTGTGAAAATCCAAAGCGAAGTCAACACGAGAATTGCTGAAAAGAAAATCAACAAGAGTGGCAACAAAAAGCAAGACAACCACTTCAAGACGACCCAGCGAACGAGCAGACGGCACTAAAAGTGGAGAATAAATGTAATAATGACATTTTGTGGCCGTTAGGATTTGGATTCTTAACTGTTTGACATTTTGCGTAACCTTTTTCGAAGACATTTGGCCTTTATTCGGATTACCCGCTTTTTTTGTTGTGGCTCTTTGCAGAGGAAGTTGAGATAGGAACTTGGGCAACTGCAGACAATGATGATGAATTACCGGTGTGTGGCCCACTGAACTGGCCAAGTTAATTGGAAAATACAACTTTCAATTTCATGGCGAAATGCTAATTTCTAGCTAAAGAAAAGACAACTGGAAAAGCGGCAAGACCAATTGGCAGAGGAAACGTGGAGGCGATGGAAGAGGAAACACAACGAAACTAACTGAAAAATCACAGGAAAAGGAAAAGAAGAAAAATCGTTAGTAACCAAGTAATACCCTTTACTTAAACTGAAGTAAAAACGTTTGTTTATCAATTTTACACATATATTACAAGAGTAAAGTTTTTATTAATATACATTTAATTTATATATTTATTTTTAAATATTTTCTTTATCAAATAAACAACTTTCCCAGAAGACTTTACCTAAACCAAACTTTTACTGATTCTTCTGACATTAACCGAAGTGCGATCAAAAGGGTTAACATCTCAAAAACTCTGCAAATAGAACGACAAATTTGAAGTACCCGCAGCTAGAGAAGGTGAGGAAAAACAATTAAACTTCAGAGTCTAGAAGGAAAAGAGAAAAACTAGCATGGTGGAAGACGCTAAGAAAGATGGCCCGCTTCGTTGGCCAGCGGCAATATCATTTATGGCCAAGTACAACAACAACTGAAACAAAAACAACAACAACAACACAACAACAACAGCGACGCGACGCATTTATTGACGTAGCCAAAACACATTAGCCACCGCTGCTGGCCGGTGGTGCGGTGGTTCGCCGGTGCTAGATGGTGGCTGATGGCGCAAACAGTGTTGCAAATGACCCAATTATCCACTGACCCACTCAACGCTCGACCGTTGTCCGGGTCCGGAGTGCGGAGCTTGGAGCATGGAGCACGGACCTCCAGAGGTTTGCCGGCTATTGCGAAAGAAGAGCGACCAGAAATAGAATTAGAATTAGAAATAGGAGCCCTAATGGCCGGTCGCCAGGTAGTCGGGCGGCTTTAGAAGCTGACTTAACAAGCCAGAACCCCAAATGAGGCCCTAAAATGGAGACATTAATTAGCCTAATGACGGGCACAAAATGACAAGAAATTAATTTGCCGGTTACGGTTATGACAGCGGTTAATCTTTTTGCGAAAGCCGGCAACCAAGCACAAGCAGATTCATCCAGGTGAAAGGTTCCCACTCGGGGCTGCGGTAATTGAAATCTGTGCAGCGGCTCTAAGAGCTTCAGCTATTGTTTGGAAAGCTTATTTTCGAGCGGTGCATCAGGGATTTCAAAGTGTGTAAGCCTAGAAAAAGCAGACTTCTGTTTGTTTTTCCGGCTCCAAAGTCGTCTCAAACGTGCCTCAATAGATGATGGAGTTTACCTTTGTTTTTTTTTTCTTTATTTCGATATTTCGTTATTTCAACACCTAGTTTTGGGGCTATCAAAACAGCAATCAAGTTCTTTTTGTTTGACATTTTTGTTTACACTTTTTATTGAGTTCTCGTTCGGGCTTAATCAAAATAAATAAGTTGGCCATATTGTGTGTGGGTTACAAATGTGGTATGGTGTGGTATTGATGGGTTAACTATAGGATTGTTATTTGTGCAAAAACGATGCTTACGAACAAACAAATAGTACAATAATACGAGGGAGCACAATACAAACTAGTGAAAATATTAATTAAATAAATTAGCTTCAAGTGGTAATTTCTATCTGGGGAATGGTAACACAAACTGTCTGCCGGAACCTGCCAATGGAAAATCTGTGACATTTTCCAACCGTTGGCGCGATGCTGAGACCGTCGACTACGACTACTCCCAGCCAACACGATTCGAGCCAAGCCAAGCCAAGCTAAGAAAATTCAAGCCAAGTCGAGCCGGAGTCGAGCAGAGCGGAAAACTTCAAGCAATTTCTGCGCGCGCTGCGCGTTCGTGAGTTTCTTTTAATTAAAAAAAGGCGAAAACTTTTACTCGCCAACTACAACAGCTAAGCAGGTAACTAGGGCTGCTCTCGATTTTCAGATTTAGATTTTATGCTTGGTGATCTCAGTTGGAATTAATTGTGCACCAGATCTTCTTTCGGCTGTTTTATGCGGCTCAAATTGCAGACAAGTCGGAAATAAGAGTCTTAATTAGAAAATATAGCATGACATGATACCGATCGCCTATTAATAAATGCTTCCGAGAATTAAACTCACGCATTAAATTTACGAATACGAATTCAATCGGAAGAAATGAGCTCTCAGTTCAGTGCTACACAATGCGTTTTAAAACTGTAAGGCAATTGTTCATTATGTTTGTATAGAGGAAAATTGCCAATGATTTACATAAAATTTAAAATATATAAGGTTTCTCTATAAAACTGGAAGCATATTTAATAATTATAAACAAATACCTTAACTATTTAAAACGCATTGTGTAAAAGAATGAAAAATAGGATTGCAAAATCCTTTAAGACTTTAATTAAACCTTTAGAGATCCTTTCTGTTTTTCCCATCTAAGGACAACTGCTTAGGTCTTAAACAAACTTATCAACTATAAAAGTTCACGTTGTAGCGCATCGATTACGGACTAAGTAAAAACCAAACCAACTAAACAGATAACATTAAATGGAACCCAAAAAACGATAAAGATACACAACTAAAATGTAGGAACGTTGCTTAGCTCAAAGATAAAAATTAACGCACGGCCCTCGCTTTAAAAATCCCAGATTGAACAGGTTTTTGGCCCTATGGGGTTACGTTAATGCACAAATAACAACAACAATTAAATGTATATAAAAAGTAAATATATAGATATGGGTATGATTATGATTATAGTATCTTTAGGGTTCACATCTCATCTCTATGCGATTTCTACAGTTTCTTCTTCTTTTTGCGCCACAAAATCTGCATAAGAGTCGCACCCTTCCCGTAACCCCCACCCGCAGCTCCGTCATCTGTGGTCTTGGCAAAAAGAAAAAGAAAAGAAAAATGTCTTACAAAAAAATACAGATATACAAAACGCCGTCGCCGTCGCCAAAGCTACCGCCGCAGTGAAAGTGAAAGTTGAAGTTGAAGTGGAAGTCGGATTGGGATTCGGATTTGGATTCGTTGTTGGGGAGTGTGTATGTGGTATGTACAAGGTTTCCAGTCCCGGTCTGTCGTTCACAAGTTTCCATTTGGCCGGGGGATCGTACCGAACTGCCTGCCTGCGCCCATTTGGTCAACTCGTTGGCCTTTTGTTTTTCGCTCCGATCGCGATGACGATGTGATGATCGTCTCACATGTGCGTTGTATCCATTTAATGGGTTTTCTTCTTTCTTTGCTGTCTTCGCCGGAGTTGCGCAACTCGGGTTGGGTAGAAATTCAAAAATGCTTTCAGGAGATTTACATTTCCCCATCCAAAGGCGCCCACGCATCGTTATCTCGTCTCACGTTTCTCCAAATCGTCGCAAAATGAGCCACTTTTCTTCTGGGTTGCGATGCGATATCTTGTTTCGGTTTTCTCATTTTTGTTGCCAGTGATTTTTTTTTTTTTTATTAGTTTTCCGCTGGCTTCGTCGTCATGAGATGGTGGAAAACGCTGGCTTCAGCTTGCCCACCGTGCCCAGTATCAGCCTGGTGGGTGTGGCCCGGCTGTCTGGGCCCAGTTTGGCAGCTGCCACTTGGCTGTCATCGTGGCCGCCACCGCCACCACCTCCGCCTCCGCTTGGCTGCCTTCCTCCGCGCCACATTAGGCCCAAACTGTTGCCGTTGCCGTTGCCATTGCTGCTATTGTTGTTGCAATCCACGAGAAAATCCAAGGCTGTGGGCGTCGCATCCGTCAGATTCAAATGCTCAAAGTTAAAGACGAGGCCCGAATCGCAGCTGTGGCTGCCAGCGCTATCCAATCCACTGTCGCTGGCTGCTCCCGATCCCGAACCCGATCCCAATCCGGCCTGATCGGCCGCATTGCATGTCTCGATCAGCTTGCGCGATATCTCATTGAGGCTCTCATCCAGCAGCGTCTCCGCCTGGGCGGAAATCGAGGTGGAGGAGGCGTGGCCCAGTTTGCCGCCTCTGAAGCAATTGGCAAACAGATCGTTGGCTATGTTGATGCCACTCAGGATGTCGCCGTAGCCGGAATCATCGCTCATGCACTGAGAGGGCGTGGTCACAGCACACGGATGACTCCGCTGGGATCCGATTACACCCACAATTTCCGCCCGGCTGCTGTCGCCGGTGATGGGAGCAAACTCCTCGCTGGTCTCCTCCCGCAAAGCCGACGAGCCGATCGCCAGGCTCTGGCTGCAAATGGAGCTATCGCAGGAGCTGTCCGAGTGCGTGGATGAGGTGGAGGAGGAGGACTCCCTGCTTCCGCCTCCTTGTTCGCTGGAGGAGGCATCGGAGAGCGATCGCCGGAGCGGGTAATCCCAAAGAGAACGCAGTGGGTCACACTCCCGGCAGAAGCACACTCCGTGCGTATGATCATGCTGCAGTATTCCGGGTGGCAGCTGGTAAGATGCCCCTCCGCCCGAGGAATACGCCTCGCGTGGGTTGCTAATTTTGGGCTGCATTTCGGATTCCATTTTGAGCAGCACGCCATTCCCCAGCTTGCGATCCTTTTTGCGCCGCTTTCGCGGCTTGATAATCCTGGGCAGACAGGTCTCCGCCGGAGAAGGGGCCTGTTCGTGGCTGGAAGCATTGTTTGCCGGTTTCTCCTGGCTACTGAGCATGGGCGGTGCAGAATTCTGGTAGCGAAGGGCACGCGATTTGTCCGCCAACTTAAATCCAGCCTGACTGCTCATCGGTTGATAGGCACTCCAGTTGTTGGGCACAGGATGTTGGAGGTGGTGATGTGGCTGGTGGTGGTGCTGCTGCTGCTGCTGTTGAAGATGCTTGCCGTTCTGCTGGAGCAACGGCATGCCCTGGGCATGGACAGCCAGCTGCGACATGGTGGCACCACCCGGTGGCCATGATGGACATGTTTTCGTGGTGGATTTCCTCAGCAATCTCTGGCGCTGGCCGGGCGACAGGTGACTGGAGGCATTCGAGATGAGTGGTATGCCGGCGCACTCATTAATCCGCTGCTGGTTGACCACCCCGTAGCCAACCGGTTGGGATGTTGGACCAGACGATTGCCCTACCCAAGAGGGCGGTTGTGCAGCCGGCGGACCATGATGCAGTCGGTAGGCAGGAGCTGGAGCTGGAGCAGGATGCTGCTGCTGCTGTTGGCTTCCTGGCCAATGGTTCAACGAATGCTGATGGTATCGCAGGGGAGCGTAGTTGGGTGGCGGTGGTGCTATTTCTGGCGCCCTGTAAACTGCTACATGCGATCTCATGCTGTTGTTGTCTTAATCCCAAACTAAATCCTGGCGGTGGGTCGAGTCGATTGCACATCACTTGGCCGCTTGCTTTGGTTTGTCGACTTGGGCCACAACTCAATGAGGCATTTCGGTTGGCCAACAACAGTCGAGCAGTCGATGGATGCCGCCGCAACGAAATTAAAAGCGAACGCCAAGAAACTGGGACACGGCGCGATCGCAATTACGAAACACACGGCGCATGCGCGACGGTCGCGAACGGGTTTCCAGCTAAGGGAGACTGGAGAGCAGAGTGGAGCAAGTGCGTCCGCCTCGTAGCCAAGCGAGCGGCAGACTGAAGTCAGCTGCTGGCGCGATCGCTGCCGAGGGCCGGCTAACAGTAAAAGCCGCTAAGACCAGTCTCTCTTACGTTCCACACGGCGTACACAAACGCTATACATACAGCCGGCTCTCTTTCGAGCCAGCATCATACATCCAAAAATCAAAAAACAAAGAGTCGCTGGCTTTCGGCTTTTGCATGTCGAGGTCGGGCAGTTCTTTTGGCCGACTCCGCCAATTGTTGTAATTGTTGCATTCAATTATACATTTTTAATTGATGCTCGGGCATTATGTTTTTGGTATTAATGTGCAGCCGTGAGTTTGAACTTTAATTATGGCTGCCACAACAGGTTTTATGGCCTATGCTGGGCTGAGGAAATGCTGGTTAACTATGTGTAACACCTCAGACTATGGTACTCAACACTATTAAGGACTATTAAGTTTTTTACATATTTAATTTGGAATTTCGAAAAACGTAATCTAAATACAAAAATCACTTATATGTATTATTTCTAAAAATATAAAAAAAACATGCATTATGCAAACAAAACGTTAAAAAAAAGTTCTCCAAAACTAAATTAGCAAATATTATTGGGGGACACAGATAAAGGATGACACCCGGAATATAATTTTGTTTATACTGTCTGCACTAAGAAATAAATCGAATTTAAAAGCATGTTTGTAAACCCAGCTTTTAAGTCAGGAATGTTTTAAAAGAATTTATATATACAATAGGTATGTATTGTAATTTTACAAATTATTAGATTACATTTTAAGGGAAATTCTAGTCCCATCCCATAGTTAAAATACCCTTGGCACCACAGCTCGACCAAAAACTTTCTCTTTTCGGAAGCCTTTTTCGCGTGCTTTCCTTTTTCACCCCACACAATCGCAAACGGACGCACACCTGGACAGGAGCTGCACACGCACCTGGCAAACATACACACACACACACACACACACAGAGAGATATAAGGTATATACGGGGGGACTCACATGACAAGTTGTCCAGCATGTAGGTGAGCAGTTTCTGCGTGCCGTTCGGCTCGTTGTAGATGTTCATGAACTCCTTTTGCAGCGGATTGCCCATGAGGCCGAGTATGACGAGGTGGAACAGCTTGCCGATCTCGTAAGGCAGCACGCGCAGAAAGTTGTTGTTCAGCAGCAGTTCCCTAAAAGGAGGAGAGACAGTGGAGTGGGTGAGTGAAATGCTCGGACCAGTGATGAATAGGGCTTAAGTTTAGGCAGCAGTTTATTAAACTAATTACGTTAGGTGTTCATATTTGGACTTTAATTTAATTTCAAGAGGCTCTAGCTTGCACTAAATTTTAATTTAAATTGACCATTTTTTCAAGCTGTATATGTCAAGAACTCTTACGGATGTATTGTATTCCAGACAAGGTTTAACTCCATAACTATAGGATATTTAGACACATTTGGTGGCATGTTTTAAGCTACTTGGGGAACTCTTACTATACGCTGCCCCACAACCGGCACTCACCGCAGCTGGATGAGCTCGCCAAGCTCAGCAGGAAGACTCCTTAGCTTATTGCTAGACAAGTCCAGGGTCCGCAGGCTGATCAGCATGCCGACGTCTGCTGGCAATCGCAGCAATTGGTTGTCGTTCAGGTAAAGGGCGGTTAGGTGCTCGAACTCCCACAGCGACGGACTTATGTTGCGGACGCAACCTGGATTGAACGATAGGGGTGAATTAATCGAGCATTTCACGGAATACAAAGCACCACTTACCCGTAATCTCTAGACCACTCCAATTCGTCTTCTTGCCGGCGGCAATATCCTCCTGCGATAAAAAGATCTGCTGCCTCCGATTGGCACTGTCGTATTTGTCTTTGTTACGAGACATTTTATAGTGATTGCCTGTTCAGGATATATCGAAAAATGTAATATTAGTACCTCATAAAAACAGATAGGGCAAGTTAAGAACTGTAATTGTTTTAAGGAAGTTAGGGCTCATGTTAGGAGACAAAACCTCGCTTAGCAACAAAGATGACTTTTTTTTGTAGTTTTAGCTTAAATTTATTTAGGAGTATTGGAATCAAATCATAACCTTTCATAATAACCGCCTGATGATAAGCGTCTCTGCAAAATATTAATAAAGTGGTTTCAATTATTATTTTGTATTAGTAAACTAAGGGGGTGTTTGAGGTTTAGGTTCGGGTTTACATATAAGGGATACAGCTTCGAAAAAAGTAACAGCAGTATTCAAAAATTACAAATATTTTTTTTTTAAATCTTCTTTTGTAAAACTGGCAATTTGTATTTATTTTTCAAGATAACTGAATGTAAATTTAAATAATTAAATTGTATACAAAGTTATCACATCTTTGTTTTAGAATTAGCGTTAACTTTTATGCATTAAAAAGAGTTTTAGTAAGCTGAACAGTAATCAGAAAATACATATGTACATTGTAAAGCAGTTATGGAAAAGACATGTTGTTTATACATATCATTTTTAACGTGAAACATAAGTTACAGAAGGTTTAGTAGAATTTACCTAAACATTTTCTTTTTATGTAAAACATTTCTTTTACGTACTGCTATTAATTTTTTATCAGCTGTGGATGATAAATTTTAAATCATAATTAAATGCAAACAAAAAGAACTTGCAAGCGCGCGCAAAGTGCAAGTACACGCACACATGAAAACACAGGCACACACGGACACACTGAACAGTTAGCAAGGCGAATGGCGTGGGCGGGCAAAACAAGAAGAGCCGTATGACGAACGTCGCATATTGGAAATCGGGGATACCTGGAATCTGGAACCTGGGATTACCTGGATAAGTTCACTTTTCCCAGGAAGTCACCTTACTCGGATCGGGCTTCAAATTTACTTGCCGCCTCCGCTCGTTTGACGCGCTCTCTCCGATCTCCGCCCGCAAATTACTCAATAATTTTGAAAGAAAAGGTAAGTCGCCGCAGTCTCGAGTTTAGTTCTCAAATTTCTTCTCACTGTGAATTTTTTGGAAATCCTAACGTTTTAAGCTACCCTTTTTTCTTGAATATTTCTGTGCCTGTTTGTCGAAAGAAAAGCGACGATTCTGCCTATTGCCCTACTCGTTTTGGGTCGCTCTTCCTTCTGCTTGCGCCTCCGCTTTCCATTTATTTATCGCGCGACTCGTTTTCATCGTCGTTACTTGTTTTTGTATACATGGTGGCCACTTGGGGTTGCCACTCGGTTTTATCAGCGGACGATACCACGGCAAATTTGGGCCAAAATGCGTGCTATTTTGACTGACTCAAGTTTGGCCCAATTTCGAAATAAACTGCTAAGTAACGTCTGCTTTGAATAGAACTATGTACATAAATGGGATTTTAGTCAAAACAAAACAAGCGAACACACACTCCCACATACACACACAGACGGTCACAGAGTTGCAGGGTTGAAATAAAAACACGTAGAGATTTCGTACTGTTTGCTTTGCTAGCCACTTTTTTGGTTCAACGCTCTGTTTGGTGTTATCTCGACTTTGATCACAATGTATTTATTATATTTTCCGACTCTGGTTTGGCGATTTAGTTGTGTTTTTGGCCTGCTGCTGCTAAGTGTAAACTCTCGTTCTTCGCTTTCCTTCGTTTTCCATTTCTCTTTTGTACGCTTGTTCGGCGTATGCAGAATTGTCCACTCGCTGTCTATCGGCCAATCGCGAATATCGCAATCGGGACTGCCAACTACCAAAAAAAAAACAAAAAAATACAGTTAAACAAACGATTGTTTTGTTATTACAATTTTGTTATATATTTATGTTATTTGTTTCCAACATTTATTTGATTTTCTTTTCACATTTTTAGGTTTCCAAAAAAATCTGTCAGCCTATAGCTAGACTCGTGCGATAGCCACAGCGTTGCGATTGACAGTTATCGGCTTTGTCTCGGCTTGACCGCGAAAGGAAACTAAATAATAATTATATAGTTATTTTCAAATTGTACAAGGAATCGTGTCGTAAAATGCCTGGGATGGTGATATCAGAGTACCTCAGGGAATACCTGGCCAATGAGGAGAAATTAGTGCTGAGCATGTGTGAGAAAAGCGATGATAAGGAGTTATGCCTATGGATGCACAATAAAACGGTAAGAACTGGAATTTATTGTTGAGTCTGATTTTTAGTTATAGAATACTGTATTTCTAGAAAATAACCGATGAGGATCTGGCACGGACGTATAGTGAGGACGAAGTGAGGCAGCTGTGCCTGAGGACCAAGGTCCGGGTGAGAATGAACTCCATGAACTGTTTGTACGACGCCAAAAAGCGGTTCGATAAAAAGAAACGACTGGAGAATCGCTCCCAACGTTACGTTGACTCCATGCTAATGAAGGCTGTGCGCCGTGGGATGGTAAAACCGTATTCGGATGAGGAAGTGGCTAACCAAAGAGACGTGGACAGAGCTTTGACCAAGCAGGATAACAACCGAAGGCTGGACCGATGGCAACGTCCCGTTTACTTAATTGAATCATCTTCAGAAGAATCCCTTTCAGCTGGCCTGAATGGGTCATCTGTTGGATCAGAAATGCACACTCCTTTACAACATACAAATCTAGACACTATAATGCAAGTTGAGGCTGGGGATGGACTTTATGGCATTGGGGACCCGGACGAGGAGGAGGAGCAGCACCAACAACTACTACAACTTCACCATCAGCAATCTGTCAGTGATACAGAAAAGGAGCAAGTCCAACAAATCGACCCATGTCCAGATACCCAGATGCCAGAAAGCTGGATGGGAATTGTATACGATGTCAATTCTGAAAGCATGTCAATAGGACCAGAATTAGATTCGGAGAACCAGCCATGTACTCAAAACACAGAACCGGACTACGAAGTTTTTGGGACCCAAGTGAAAGCCGCTTCCACACAGGAGGACGAGTGCTAGCTGGCCATTCTTCACAGTCTCAAATTGTAAAATCGAAGTTTGCTTTTATTGAGTTTCGTTATCCTTCTATGTGTCTATGTGAAGGGTGTGTAAAAAACGTGTTAAAAACATTGAGTCTCTAAAAAATGTATAAAATTATTAATAAAATCTTAGCTACAATACGAGGCTCGATTATACTATGTACACTATGCTAGGATGATCCGCAACCGGAACTGTACACGGAGTTAAACATTTGAAATGCTCGCTTTTACATAATTACGCTATGTACAATTTACAGTTAGAACTAGTTTACATGGTCCCACGGGGCGTGGCAGGAGGGCGGTGGGTGCTACGGGAAGTGGTCAAACAAGAACTGTTCCATGAACAGCGACTCCGAATGCTAGTTGGACGAGTTATCGCCCGGCTCGCTAACAGCAATGGTCATCTTTGCCTCATCTCCGCTGTCCAGTTCCGGATCGTCGTCATCCTCCTCATCCTCGCCATCATCCAATTCGTCCTCTTCCAGCTCCTCTTCGTCTTCCTCATCCTCTTCGGTCATCTCTTCATCCTCCTCGTCATCTTCGTCCTCGCCGAAACTGTCGCCGCCGCCGGTGGCCTCCGCAGCCGGCAGCTGAACGATCGTGGCCCCGCCTGGCGTCACAGTTGAGCCCGCAACCGTGGCCGCCACACTGGAGGCTCCACTGCCCGCCGTCGTCGCTCCGCCGCCCGGAATCTCTATCGTCACAACGCCGCTCATCGTGCTGATGCTCTTCGGCGCATTACCGCTCTTGCCCTCCTGCTTGATGCTCAACTCGATGAGCTCCACGCCGGAGCGGCTCTTGAAGTGCGTCTTGATGTGCTTGGACAGGTGATCGCTGCGCATGAACTTCTTGTTGCACTCGCGACACTGGAACCGTTTTTCGCCCGTGTGAGTCCGCCGGTGGCGCTGCAGCTCATCGGAACGTGTGAAGCGCTTGCCGCAGAATACCCAGGAGCAGACGAACGGCCGTTCGCCAGTGTGCCAGCGCAGGTGAGCTCGAAGATGGGAGGTCTTGCCGTACACCTTCTGGCAGCCGGGGATGTGGCAGATGTGCTGGCGCTTCTTGTCCGAGTGCTTCTCGCCGTCGGTGCAGTTTGGACAGGTGCAGGCGACTCGCTTCAGGCGGGGTTTCGGCTCTCCAGCTGCCGCTGGACCGCCGCCTCCCGAACCACCTCCTCCTGCACTCGCCACACTAATGCTCACATTCAGATTGCTCTGGGCTGGGGTGGTTATCGTTGTCGTGCCACTGTTCGTGCTCCTTATGCTGGCAGACGCTCCCCTAGCCTGCGTGGTCACAGCCACCACTTGGCCGCCGGTCGGTGCGATTGTAATCTGAGTGCTAGAGGTGCTCACCAAGTTGGCTTTGCTTCTCGCCGGTAGCGACACGGGATTGGATTGTGTGGCTGGAGCTGGGGTGTTCGGTGGATTCGCCGTTGGCTGTGGCAGCGCAGTGATCTGAATAGAGGCTGGTATGCTCAGGCTGGACAGGGAGCTGCCCTCCGTCTGCAGGAACTTGATCTGCTGCTGTTGCGGCGTCGATGTGCTCGGCGTGGAAGCGGGTGCCGGTGGATTGCCGGTGGAGCTGATGGGTCCAAAGGTATCCGGCGGCTCTTGCTTAATGCTGGTAATCATATGCGTGGGACTCTGCGGCTCCTGCTTGGGCATCACTTGCACTTGGCCCTGGGTCTGAACATGGGCCTGTGACATGGGCAGTTGGGTCAGGACCTGCTGAAAGTTGGCCGGCAGATTCGGGGGCAACTGATTGGCGTGGATGATTTGCACTTGACCCAAGCCCGGTATGTTCTGAATGGGCAACGCCTGGAGATTGGGCAGTTGCATCGGCGTGGGCACGGCAGCTGGAGTGGGCGCAGGGGCAGAAGGTGCACTCTGACGCAGCTGGGCGGGAATCACGGTCAGCTGTTGGCCCTGGGCATTGGTGATGGTTATGGGCTGGTTGGGCGGCAGCTGTCCCCCGGCCGAGGCCTCGCTGATGGCCTGGAGGAGCTGCTGGTGTTGCGCCTGGACCTGTTGCTGCTGCTGTGCCTGTTGCTGTTGCGCCTGCTGTTGTTGCTGAGCCTGCTGCTGTTGTTGCTGTACTTGCTGCTGCTGCTGCTGGTGAGGGTTCTGTATGTGTATAATGTTGGCATTTGGCGGCAGCTGGGGATATGGCATGGCCAGTTGCACCTGCTGAATTTGCCCGTTCGGCGTCACAATCTGGGCAATCTGCGAAAACTGCGGGATGATTTGCATCTGCGAGGCGGTGGGCATCTGCAGGGATTGCGCCTGCATTAGGTTTTGTAGTCCTCCGCCGGCCGTTGCCGCTGCCTGGACAGGCACATGAACCGTCTGGTAGACGGTCTGGCCGTTAGCAGTCTGCACGGGTATTTGCACGGCCACCGTTTGTTGCTGCTGGGGCACGGCCTGCGCCGGAAACTGAACCAGTTGAGGACGCAACTGCAGCTGGCCGTTCTCCAGCTTAATGGATTGACCGCCGCCCAGAAGGTTGGAGATGTTTCCCAGCAATCCGTTGGCCGCCGCAACCGAGGTGGGTATTTGTAGGTTGGTGCCCGGGATGGTAATGCTCCCAGGCAGCTGGCTCACTGTCCCGCCGGCTGCTCCTCCCGATGCCGTGGCTCCAGAAGCATTCGTTCCTTGTGCATGCTGCTGCACTGCGCCCTGGTGCACTTGCTGCACCTGCTGCTGCTGTTGGATGAGATTGGTGACGGGTATTTGAATGTTGGTGCCGGGGATGCTGATCAGCTGGGTTTGCTCCTGGGCCATGCCGTTAAGCTGTTGCAGCTGGATGCAGTTGGATGCTGCCGGATTGGGCGCCACTTGGGGAGCCCTCAGGATCTGACCGCTGGGCGTGATGAAGGCCTGCTGACCGTTGATGTTCACCGCCTGCGCGGTGGCGAGCTGGGCATTAAGGTTGGGTATGAAGATGGCCTCCTGGCCATCGATGTTCACCGTTTGCATGGGCATGGGCTGGACGATCTGGAACATGTTCTGCGGCAATCCAGAGGCTTGGCCGCCACCGGCTACTGCTCCGCCCGCGAACTGGGGTGGCATCTGGTGGATGTTGATGATCTGCTGCATGGTGGGTGCTCCGGGAGCACCCTGTGCCTGGGGTTGTGGGGCAGCGGCACTTGGTCCGCTTGGAGGCGCCGCTTTGGCGGATCCGCCGGCTGCCGTGGGAGTGGATGGGGGCGCATTGTTCACCGCACTGGCGGCACTCTTGTACTGCAGCATGGCAGCGCTTTTAATTGAGATTTTGGCAGTCACAAGTGCTTCGAGCGAAACATGTCCAGTTTTTTTCTCGCTCAGACGCGCAACACTGCCAGCAGATTTGGTGGCATTCAAACGCAGATGGCACACACGGGTTCATGTACACTGGTGCGCGCGGAACCGTCGCTTACATTCGAACACATAGAAAACCCGAATTTCAAAGGCAATTTCTCGAGCTTTTGGTTTTTAATTTAATTTTGTTTTGACAAACACAAACGCAGAAGAAGAAGAAGTGTGATGAGACAGGGTTGCACAGTGAAGTCTACCGATAATCGATTACCGTCAATCGAACAATCGATAGCGCCAATGCGATAACCGCTGAGAATAAGTAGAAGAAGTGCGCCGATAAGCAAAACAAAGAACTCGGCGACAGGTTGTCCCAGCGTGTTATTCCCATTTTAAACCGAAATCCCACTGAATAAGCATGGAGTTCAACGCCGCGGGTCTCGATTCCCTGACCAAGAATATGGCGGATCTTCTGCTTGAGGAACAAAATGCTACTCCGCAGCAGGTTGAAACAATAAAGAGGGAAACTATTTGGGTGGGAGAGCTGGAATGGTGGCAGAAATTAAAGCCGGATCAACCGAAACTTCTACAAACAATGCATTGCACCGTGTGCTGCAGGATTATTGATGGTCGGCCCGAGATCAAGGCGGAGAACTGGCCGTCCAAGCTGTCAACGCAGATAATGCCCAAATATCTGCTTGCTAAGATTGGTGGAGGGCTGCTTAAGGATTCCAGGCCTGTGATTTTTAGACCTAGCCCAGGAGGAGCCCTAGATTCGCTAACTAAGATGATGAACTCTGGCTACGCTTGCTGCGTCCACATCTCCAGCTCAAACTGTAATGATAAGGTTCTTTTTCTTTTTTTCTCGCCCGAACGTGATCTATTTTTGGGATTTATTCCCAACAATCAACTAATTGTCATCGAAAGAATTCGGAAAGTTGTCCAGGAGATCCTGGCGAAATAAACAGTAGTAACTTGATGGCCATCCAATGTCAATCTCTTCCATGCGAATCCGAATTTCTATACAAATATTGTTATTATTAATAAAAAAGTTTGGGTGTATCTGTTATTAGTCTTATACATTTCAAACTTTTTGACACTTTATTTCTGAATGTCCTGTTTGGTAGGACTGTTGGATGTTGTTATCATCATTTAAATCGGTTTAACTTCTTAAAATTGGGTTACAAAAATGTAAGAGCATGGGAGGAGATGTTCGTAATGGGGTCCTCCTCCACCCACGATGAGTTTTAAGCTTCTTGTAATGCACAAAGTCTTAATATCAGAATATTTCAGGAATCTGGTTATAATAAAAACAAGCGTATACAACATTTAATTAATTTGTCTCGGTTTTAGTCCCTAACCCATTGAGTGGGTGGATATATTTTTGGGTGTTTTGTTTCAGACTTTGCAGTCCTCAGCGAAAAAATCCTCTTTTTAAAGGTAAAGTTACATTTCAGAAACTGAGCATACATTTTTTTTTTGTAGTAACTTTGTAAGTATTTAAAAAAAAACGTGCAGAACTGAATTAACAATTACAAATTTATTGCTAGTACTTCGCTTTTACCTTCATCCACAAATACGAAACAATTATAAACATAAACGATTTTTTGGGAGTTGACTGGGAGATCCTTCAGTCCGAAATCTTTAAAGAGATTTTATTTGGGGGTTTTTATTAGATACACACTACAAG